AGCGCCGCCGGCCGCAGCTCCAGCGTTGCCAACGCCAGCTCAAGCCGATGCGGGTCGCCGCCGGGCGGCGGCGGAGGCGGTGGCCCGCCGGACAGGGGTGGAGGCGGCGGCCCGGCGGCGGTCACCTCGTGCGCGGCCACATCGCGGCCGTGGCGGACGTAGAGCGTGAGCGACCGGGCCGGCGCGCCCAGCACGGCCGTCAGACGCGCCAGCAGGGGTGCGGCGGTCAGCGCGGCGGCCGGCCGGTCCACCTCCTCCACAGCAGGCTCCAGCAGCACCGGTGCGCCGCTCAGCGCGTTCACCAGGCAGGGCGGCGGGGCGGCGCCGGCCGGCGGTGGCACGCGACTCTCGGCAGACCACAAGACAGGGTCGTCCGCCCGCTGCAGGGCTTTGTACAGCCCGGGCAGCGGGTCGCGCAGGAACTCGAACGACGCGTCGGCGATGGAGGCGCCTACGAGGTTCACCTGGACTTCTACGGACTCCCGATCTATTGCGGGAAGAACGCTCAGTACCTGCAAGATCAGCGAGCATTAAAGGGGATGCTCCCTATTTGAAGATATTGAAGCAAGTATAATATATGATTAGATAAGCTTACTTGCAACTACTGGTGTACTTTCACGTGGAAACGGCCGCTCTCGACAGCACTATTCTCTGTTCAGTGAACATGCTCCCCACGCCACTGTTTGACTACGTCATCCAGCCCTGCACAACATTGAGAGCCAATTGAGAGCCGTCATATCTGGAAATCGTGCTGACGAACGCTAGATATGAACAACTCGACAATTGCATTTTCTTGGCCTTGCTAGCCACATGGCTAATCACATGGCGGGATTTGAGTGACGTTGTAGCGTCATGGATGTCTGAGTGCCCTCGAAATAGTCTGCACATCTTCGCGGGCGCGTAGCTAAGAAACTAGACAAGTTTATGACTTAAGAAGGGCAAGGCTGTGAACAGCACCAAATCATCTTCAAGATGGCCATTTCAATTCAAACTCCCATACACACATAGAACATTCCCTTCCATCAAACGCAAGTAAGACAGGCTCCAGACACTGACCCCTGCAGTAAATTTTGGCATTAAGAATCATAGCTTATCATGAGCTTATGTGAGTAATTTTAAGAGCACACAAATTTATATGCCACTTGCACTTGCATTTAGAGCGAAACCAAACTTGAAATAGCCTCTATAAAATGCCAGTGACGCCACAAACCAACGCGAAATGCCACATCTAAATTCATGAAGGAAACTCATCCGACCACTGGAAAACAGCTCGAAGATTTCCTACGAAAAAAAAACAGCTTAACTTTCACGGTACACGGCTTAGCCTGGCCCCGGCCACGCGCCCTACCTTGGCCAGAGCCTCCTGCGGACAGGTGTTCTGGGCGAGCCAGCGAAGCAGCGCCTTGATCCGCTGCCCGGGCCGTTCTCGACCGCCTGCGGGCAGCCCGCGCGCCCGGTACAGGCGCCTGAAGAACGGGTCGAACGTGGCCGCCGGCAGCACGTCGTTGCCGGGCAGGCTGGCCAGCAGGGGCAGCATGCGGGACGACAGGCCGTAGTGCTTCAGGAACCTGGTCATAGGTCACAGGCAGAGGCCGGGATCTGACGCGCCGGTTGCTTTCCCTCACCGGGCGATAGCCCCGTTCCGACGTCAACGATAATTGGGTAGCTGTTGGACAGCATGCCGAGGGCACTCAAGTATCCTCGGGATATACAAGCGGTTTAAAAGTCCGTCCAAACGGCAGCAGCACAGCAGCTGTGCCACAGATCCGCAGCGACTAGCGAGGCACGACGAGCCCGTCTCCTGGGGCCAACCATGCCCCCCGGGACCCAGCGGCGGCGCGCGACCTACCGCTCCGGCCGGAAGACGACGCAGCTGAGGAAGCGGTCCAGCCGGCCGCCGGCGCGCCGGGCCGTGCACGGCCGCTTCCAGGGCGTCAGCCGCACGCACGGAACCGCCAGCGCGTACAGATCCGAGTCGTCGGTGAGCACGGCGCAGCCGAGCCGGCGCGCGAGCGCGGCGGCGGGGCCATCGGCCTCGCGGGGGCACTGCACCAGTGCCACGCCCAGGCCACGCACCGCCTGCCAAGTGGGGCGGGCCGGGCACCGACTGTCAGACGATGGCTGTCACTGTGCCTCAGGGTTGCGACTCAGGGATGTGCTCACATCCCCTTCAGAGGACAGGGACATGGCAGGACATGGACATGGCTGGACATTTTGTGTAATGTGGTCACACAGCAGGATGTAAATGGTGCCCCAGCCAGCAGAACACATTCATGATCATGGGAGCATTGACAAAACCTATGTGGTGGCCATGCTGGGTGATAAATGAAATTTTGCTACATGCTGGCCTTTTACGCTGATTTTATTATGCAGCTTCAAGTGTGTGTCTATGCACAAAATCCATACAAAGTGTACAACACATTTGGACATGTGCTTGGGAGCAGAGGGGGGGGGGGGGGGGGCATGCCAGAGCCACAGAGGTACATCAGTAAAGCATCCTATTTACTATCCAGTGTCTCAATACCTGCCAGCAGAGGGTCAAACAGTAACACCAGCAGCCACCTGATGTAGCTAACATCTAAGAATCAACTGAACATGTTGCAAATTTCATGCTGCTGATGGTACAAAGCTTTATCCAACTAGCAGCTGTATGCACAAATTGAGCCCAATGTGAGCTACTGGGCTAAGCACAGTACTAGTCAAAACAATGAAATGTATGCACAAGTAGGTGACAATCATCACAATACTACTCCTAGCTGCAGGGCTGGTTGGCAAGAACAGAGATGTCATCAGCATGTTACTCCTACCTCAATAAATACTGTCCTGGCCAATGGAGGGAACACATGTTCTTGATGATGCTTGGATGCTGAAGCACGCACAGATATGCAGACCTTTTCTTTAAGGCGACTGACTTGCTTTGGAAGTTTTGCATCATTTCTACCCCTTCCACCATCCAGAAGGACCACTGGGATGATATTGCAACTGCGACATAGAATAAATAACAAACACTTGTATCCCACATGTCTTCCATACAAGCTTAAGCTCATCTCTGATATCGTTGACCTGTGTGCAACAGTACAGCATTTCAATGATCAGGACTGTGACCAGAAGTGACAAAACAGTTTTAATCCTATGACATGTACCACTCCACAGACAAATTATTCTGCTGAATAACAAATTCTTGATCTCATATGCCCCTAATATGCCTCTCATTGGCATGAGTGAAGATGTACTTATCATGCCCCTGCTGAATCTCCTGTAGCATAACCAGTTTTTGTATGAACTATCTTGATATTTAAAGCACCACAAAAACAAACCAATTTTGTGGTTCTCTCTTGCACCTTCCCAATGACATACTGGCCCACCTTAAGAGCTGAACAACACAGAGTTAAAATATTTACTGAGACATCAAAACCTTCTTTCCATTAATGGTATTATTTTTGGTCAACAGCCATTTATCTATCAGCCATGGGTAATGATAGACATCAATATGCTACTGCATGGATCTAATCAGCACTGATACCCCACACAGCAAATGAATATGAAAGACCACATTTGAGTATGAGGTTCAAAAACTTGTTTTAGGAAGGTGCTTCACTCCAAAACCATATACCTTTTCAAGTCTGAGAAGAAAAGCTCCACTTGATTGGCATACTGAAGATAGTCTGTACCTGAACCCACACAGGTGCCCCTATTTGTAAAAAGGTGGTGAGCAACATTATTTCCATCAATAACCAAAAAGCAGCTTGCTACATGCTCTTGTTGAAAGAATACTTTAGCCCTTTGTTCAATAAATGAGGACAGACCCAGGATGCCCATGAGCAGTTTAGCTCACTGAAAAAGTATCACACCAGTAACATGTCTTCTCAGCCGAAGATAACTTCAACCTGCTGAAAGAAAATTATTGCAGACAGTGCAATTCCATCCTATGGTAAGTTGACTGATTAAAGGTGTATAGCTGTCAATCACTATAATATCATGCAAAGGTAATGCACAATATCATAGTGAACATAAGACTGCCTACCAGCAACCTTTGACTGTCACCATGTATGACTTGCTTGGTTAGATGACCAAACCCATCTACAGGTATCATAAGCTTTCTGATGAACCAGTCTTGCACTGAATAAAGCAAATCACACCATGTTTCTAACCTTACATCTCACATATTGGTACCAAACAATCTCAGAGCATAGGCAAAATCGTAGTGTTGTAAAGCGTCGCTAAACGCGGTACGCAGCGTGTACTTCATGACACTAATTCCCCTTGAGAGAAACCAGCACGTCTTCACGAGAAGACCAGATACGAGCACTGCATGCAGCACGCGATTTTCTTCGCGCCTTGCCATTAACGCATTCCGCGCGCCGCGACCGGTCCAAACAATACACATCTCACCGAAGTGGTTGGACGATCCACGTGGTTGGGCGGCGCCAAGGCCCTACAATAACAGCAGCGCCAATAACCCAATTTAGCAGAAGACGGTCAGATAGGTGTCTAGTATATAAATATAGGTGTAACACTGGAGGCTGCACCTGACGATGCTTGACGCAAGCGTTTTTATTGTGAATGCATTACCGGTTTAAGCTGGCATTGTGCTATCCAGGAAAACGCAAAGAAGATAAACGTTGAAGCACATTGAAACAAAACCTCTCTTGCATTAAGAACATTCGCAGCGATAAAGTTCTTAACCCTGGAGCGGAATGACCCAATGACTCTGCTCCTCCATCGCAGGCGCTGCAGCCACCAATCTCTTTTCCTTTCTAAGGAAAAATAGAAATAAAGTAACATATGTAAATATAATATATTTAAATAACATGAAAAAACACAATACAAAAGGTTCTCCAGCATCAACAAGATTCAAATGTCTTCAGCCCAGCATCCGGTGGGCCAGGCGAGCTAGCAGGAAAGCAAAGCATGCTCTATGGAAATAATGCTGCCAACTAACCTTGGTAGGGAGATGTGGTATTTTGAAGGAGCTTGTAATGTGGGCTCGATGTTGGGCATCCGGAGGCGAGCGTCTGCGGTCCAGTTCCGCCATTTCCTGACATTCCGAGGAAGGAGTTTGTTTCGCAGAGCAGTGGTATTAGCAAATTTGCCGCCACAGGTGGAAGAGCCGCAAACAGAGATCAGTGCGTGTGGTGAGGTGAGTCTAACGAAACTCATAAGTTTCGTAGTCGCAGCCACTTTTGTCGATCGCGAATGTGGCTGCTTTGGAATATCGATTTGACCCTCATGGCGTGCATTATGCACTATGACTTTACCGTTATACTCAGTTCTGGATTCAAGGAAGATGTCAGGGAACCTACGTTGAAGACGCGTGCATCGCTACTTGTAGTGCATCGCAAGGTTACATGGACTAGTAGAATGCTTGACTGGGATATTATCTTTATTAATTTTTTCTCACGTATTCAAGTCACATATACGTACATGTGGGCCTTTGGTGAGAATTCATCTTTTCTTTCTCGAATATGTCTGGTGTGCACCAAAAAATTCAGTGTATGTCTGTATGTCCATTATAAATCAGAGGGTGTAAAGTTGGTGCATTGATAGCAACCAACTCAGTGCAGAGTGATGATGGTCCAGGGAGTGGGTGTAGGTGTACTTTCCTACCTAACGTTAGAAAAAATCATTGCACACCATTTGTCATGTTATATTGTAAATCATCTCAAAACAGGTAGAATCATGCTCCTACCTTCGAATTTCAATAACTTCGATGGCGAGCTCCCGAGCGCCGCGCGCAACCGCCTGGACTCCCCAGCGCGCCGTTTCTGCGTTGCCGTTACGTAAATACAATATTTCTGCTTACCAAGAACTCTACAAAATGTACGGGACCAAGGTAAACCATTCGTGGTGTTTAAGGCGGAACATATCGTAAATAATTTCAAAACAGATAGAATCATGCTCCTGCCCTCAAATTTTAATAAATACGATAGCGAGCTCCCGAGCGCCGCACGCCCCGCACCGCACTGCCTCGACTTCCAAGCGCCGTTGTTGCGAAAGCACAATATTTCTGCTTATCAAGAACCATAAAACATGTATGGGACCAAGGTAACAATAATAAAGCAACCAAAATCGTTTCTCATCGAGTTTAGGTACATTTATGAAACATGCAGGCCAGAATAGTCCAGAACATATCCTAACCTAACCTAACCTAACCTAGCCTAGCCTAGCCTAGCCTAGCCTAGCCTAGCCTAGCCTAGCCTAGCCTAGCCTAGCCTAACCTAACCTAACCTAACCTAACCTAACCTAACCTAACCTAACCTAACCTAACCTAACCTAACCTAACCTAACCTAATCTAATCTAATCTAATCTAATCTAATCTAATCTAACCTAACCTAACCTAACCTAACCTAACCTAACCTAACCTAACTGAGAATAGACCAGAACCTAAGCTAAGCTAAGCTAAGCTAGCCTGACCTGACCTGACCTAACCTAACCTAACCTAACCTAACATAACCTAACCTAACCTAACCTAACCTAACCTAACCTAACCTAACCTAACCTAACCTAACCTCCCCACCCTATATCCCCTTCAACCCAGCATCTCATTGGCATCCATGTTCCATGCCATATATAGGTGCCATATAGTGAGCTTTTATTTAGCTGCCATGTTCTCATTTTGCTTTACATTCCCCACCTGCAACCCCCCCTGCAACCCATGGTCCCGTTGGCGTCGAGGATCAAATTTCATGGATTCTTGCTACCTTGTCCCGGTACATTTTTATGGTTCGCAGTAAATATGGTTTATAGTTATAGTATGGTTTATATAGTATAGTTTATAGTTACAGTTATGGTTTATAGTATGGTTCGCAGTTAATATGGTTTATATGGTAAATATGGTTATGGTAAATACGGTTTATGTTTAGTAAATATTTTTATGGTTCGCAGTTAGGTTATGGTTGTCCTGCCTTAAACATGACGAATGGTGTACTTTGGTCCCGTACATTTTGTACAGTTCTTGGTACGCATTGTATTTACGCAACGGCAACGCGGAAACGGCGCTGGGGAGTCCAGGCGGTGCGGTGCGCGCGGCGCTCGGGGGCCCGCCATCGAAGTTATTGAAATTCGAAGGTAGGAGCATGATTCTACCTGTTTTGAGATTATTTACGATATGTCATGCCTTAAACACGACAAATGGTGTACAATGATTTTTTCTAATGTTAGGTAGGAAAGTACACCCTAACCGTATACATGGTCATAGTATACATTGGTACCTTATGTTGAAAAATAGCATTGTGCATCAATCATTGTTTAAAGGCAGAACATATTGTAAATGATTGTAAAACAGGTTGTCTAGACTCTTCCTTGGAACCTAAATAACTATGATTGTGTCTCTCCATGAAACATAGTGTTAATGCAGTTTTCTGAATAAAGGCAAACCTTGCCAGTCCCTCCTGCCATCTAAGTAAGCCACCATCAGCTATGACCCTAAGTATCCAAAACATGAAATATTTTTTTTGGTGATCATATTGTTCCAATATTATATATGCTTGACCTTCTTTGACCAGCAAGTTTGCTTATTGTAGTTTTCATGGTAAAGTTAAGATGGAGAAATCACCAGAATTTGAGGCTTGGTAGCCAAGTGCTGCTATAAGGAGCAGGAGCAAGGTATTGCAGCATTCAGACAAGTGGATATATTGCCCAGGTGGTTGGTGGTCTCATTCAGGCACTCATTTACATGATGATTTATTAGTGTGGTCTAGGGCTACTACCTGGTACTCATGGAAATTCATATATCAGAGCAACACATCCTTAAAAGACCCATAGTAGCTTTCTCATGATGATAATTGGACCTCAAGTGCAAGCCAACAGCAGAGGTTATTTTGTGCCCAGAGCAGCCATTCAGTGTAACATGATTCATTGGGATGTAATTCCCTCCCTATCCTCCTTCCATTTTGATTCGTCATGGACAAATACAGATTATGTATGGTTCCATCACAAGCTGACAGTGATGCTTGTCTACAGACATCGCATTGCTTGTCTGGAAAGGGTGTAGTGGTATGTGGGAAGGAATGTGTTTGGGGCTGTATGCATGTAGAGCTACTGGCCAGCCCTGTTATAAGGCACTAGTTGTGACTGGCAAGCCAGGTTACATGACAACAATTTTTATCAGTGGTGCCAGATAGGATGGGAGACTGCTGCATCCAGCAGTGTGGCTTCACAGCTTCTGTCTGCCTTCTACATGGTGATGGGGCAGTAGGCAGACCAGTTACTGTTGGGGTAATGTTTAATGGCAGTACGGGAATGGACAGTGAATCTTGTGGGTGCTGGTGATAAGTCACCAAGTTATTTGAGCAGTGCAGAATCAGCTACTGGGTAAATACTGAGACTATGGGTTCTGATAGACAGGCTCCTGATCTGGAGGTGTGGGCCAACTCAGTGGTTCTATAGCCAGTGGTGCTTTTTTTGTTGCATGTCCAGGCTCTAGCTGGCTGGACTGCATGGTGAGCATGAGTAACTTCACTACCAGCCTGGCCTTTGCTGCATTGGTGATGTTGGATTCCTATTCATCTGGCAAATCCAACAAATCCTTTCCATTTGAAGGGGTGACCATTTCAGGAGTCCACTTGGTCCACGTATCTGTAGCATGAGATCACGTGGTTGGGGGCATGGCTGCATGCATCTTTGATGCAATTGTATTTGCTGGCTGTCATGTTAGCCCTGACATGATAACCAGAGCTATATTTGGGATGAAGTAGCTGCCTGGCTGACTGGGTAGCACTCCACTTCCTTCTCTACCACTTGATGTATGCATATTAGCAGGATGAGGCTCTGAGGGTTTTTAATGACTGTCCCTGCTTGAGCTTCATGATTGAGACACATGGCTTCTGGTTTCAAGGCTGCAAGGAGGATCAGATGATGACCCATCATAATTACTTTGTTAATGATGGCCAGCAGGGGGAAAATTGACACTTTTCAATATGCTGCACTGATTGTCCGCAGTCAAACATCCCCTTCCGCACTGCGGTGGGGAGCAGCCACATGCTGACGTCGGTCGCAGTTTCCACGCGCACTCTTGATGGTCACCTCGCGCGGCGTGTGTTCGTGCGGATGATGACGGGCATCGGCTGGTCTGCTCGCTGTCGTGAGGCTGGCATCACACCCGTGACGCCAGTGCTGGGGACTGGATGGCGGGCATGAAGTCTTTGACCTCCCCGCAGCCCAGGCGGCCCTCCGTGACGTACAGGCACCCCGTGATGTTCGTCTTGCTCCGCCCAATGGGGCGCGGTGAGAGCGCTCCATTGAGGAGAGAGACCAGCGGCATGTGCTCCACGGCGATGTGAATTGAGGAGTCCTTAGCGATATGTAATGGTTAGGACGGACCACAAGCTCCAGGGCGCCTGTATCTTTTTCGGTTCGGAAGTAGTTGCGCTCGGTTTGGCTGGCAGTCCGCCTGTGGTACGCTACAGTCCACCAAGTCCCACTGGCCCCATTCTGCTGCATAATGATGCATCTCAAAACGTCTGGCGTGCTGCCATCTACTCAGACTTCGGTGGAGTAGTCCGGGCTGAAGGAAGCCAGTACATTGGAGCTATGAGTTCTTTGATCCGTTCCAAGGCGTCGTGATGGCGTTGCATCCAGTAAAACTGGACCTGCATCCTTTGCCCATCGCGTACCAAGTGCTTCCAGTGTAGGCCTGATGCTTCTGGTGTGGTTCTTTGCCGTGTCGGCTTGTTGATTACGTTTACAACGCCACAACGCGTACGATCACAACACTCACTTCACGTGAGTGTTGAGGCTGGCTTTCTTCGAATCGGACTCGGGGTGCACACTGGATTTCGGGACCAGTCGGTGGGACAGACAAGGGGTGTGATGAATCCCATCCCCCCTCGGCTCGTGAAGCGCCGCGTCTGCATTGGCTCGGAGCGGTAGGGATGTGCGTCCGTGAGGCTGCGCGATCGTGGGAGAGAGGACTTCCGGGTCGATGTGTATTTTGCGACACTTTTGCTTGTGTTGTATCTGAAGCACCTCCAGGTGTGGGGCGACGATGGCCTGGTACAAGTCGTCTGGGCCGTGCTGTATTGCTTACGGAGCTTAGCATGTGCGATGTCTCAATGGGTGTCCACCATCCGCATCTGCTCAAACGGTAGCGCGGTGAGGCCATCGTCGTCGGGGTGTTGACTTTGTTGCGGTTGTTCTGTGCCTGAGCTCTTGGCTCGCCGCCATGTGCAGTGTTGTGAGTGGTGGTGGGCCTGAAATGATCACCAATGTCACCAAAGATCACCAATGACATCGCCACCAAATGCGCTCAGGCTTTCGTCCGTGGGTATCCACTTATGCAATTCTGTGTTGATCTGATCTAATCCGTAACGACATGCAATCCAGCATTGTGCCAAGGCATTGCCAGGTGATGTATGTTTCATCACGCGCGATGTGCCGGCAGGCAGCAGGTGCGCGTCATGGGGCTGTTCAATGTGCTGGCCACAGCGCTGGGCCTGCGGAAGCGGGAGGTGAACGTGATTGTGGTCGGGCTGGACAACAGCGGCAAGACCACCATCCTGAACCACTTCAAGCCAGACCTTGAGCGGCCCGCGGACATCGTGCCCACGGTGGGCTTCAACGTCGAGAAATTTAAAGGTGAGTTGCAGGTCGCAGACAGGCTGGTTCTAGGTGGAAATATGGGAGTATGTGTTCGCCATGGCCTAGTGACACAGGCCCGGGCGTCATTTTGTGCGGTGAAAAACTGTTGGACCGCGCAAAATGTTACATGTAGCTCTTAAATTGTGATGTTGCTTGAATGTCGAGCATATTTAACTTGTCTTACTTGCTCGCTCACTTACTCACATTTTTTCACTCAGTCCATGCTAATCCGCTAGCACCTGCCGAAAGCAACTGGGCAGAAGGCACCTGCCGTATCAAACGGATGACATTATGTTCTGTGGGTTAAGAACACCCTCAGGTTTTTAGTATCGGAATGTGAAATGGGGATCATCAATAGGAAGACAATGAGAACGGCATATAGCCGTATCACTGCGATTGTCATCAATCATCAGTCATCAAAGCCCAAATCATCATTATCATCATTGAAGCACTTTGCTGTTAGCATCTGCAACCTCAAAGGTGTATTCGCCGCGCACCAAGAAAATTGCAGTCTGCATGACGTAACAAAATATTTGCGGAACGTATTTGCTGCGTTTTCTTTTCACATGCCGTAATGTTCATGACAGTAATTGCGCGTGCAAACATTTGCATTTTGTGTGTGCACGTGATAGAATCACGCACGTATATGGTATCTCGTGGATATAAAGTGTCACGTGTGTACAGAGTATCACGCACGCGATAGTATCACGTGGTATTATGCATGTGCCCACAAATTTTGCAGTTTGTTGCATGTTACATACATTTGTTTACACTTCGTTGCTCGTCGGCGTGTAGCCTGATCTGTGTGGTGGCACGCCCCCCCCCCCCCCCCCGCTCCACACCTTTGATCTAACTTCGATCAAGCAACGGGAAACAAGATTATACGTACCGTACCCGGATTACTGGATCACCGGAGCGCTGCGAATACACCGAAAGTTGTTGGGCACACAGAGGCGGCCCTTCCTCTGATCTGAGTCTTTGCCGCCCCCAGCACAGAACCTGTCTTTCACGGCGTTCGACATGTCAGGCCAAGGCCGATACCGCAATCTGTGGGAGCACTACTACCGCGACTGTGACGCCATCATCTACGTGGTGGACAGCAGCGACAAGCTGCGCATGGTGGTAGCCAAGGACGAGCTTGACGCACTGCTGCAGCACCCCGACATCGGCGACCGCCGCATCCCGCTACTCTTCTTCGCCAACAAGATGGACCTGAAGGAAGCCATGTCCTCCGTCAAGGTCACCATGATGCTCGGCTTGGAGAAGATGGAAAACAAGCAGTTCCACATCTGCGCCAGTAACGCCATCACGGGCGACGGCCTCAGCGAAGGCATCGAGTGGCTGACGCAGCAGCTGAAGAACTCCAAGGACAAGTGACGTGGAGGCAGCGTCGGGCACTTGTGCCGGCAGGGGACTGGGACCGAGCTCCCTGCGCGGCAGACTGCTGTGTGCGCTGCCGGCCAATGTTCTCGAGGCTCGGCTCGCTTGATCTCGTCTGACGTGACCGGTAGATGGTGCCGATGATAGCGTTTTGTTCACGCGCGCAATGTTCTCAAACGTGCCGCCTCTGGCGCACGCACCTCGCTGTCTGTCGTAGGCGCGGCGGCCAGTGGTAACCCATCCGTCCAAAGCCCAACATCTAGTCACACATGCCTTGCCCGTAGCGTTAAATTGTACTGCTCGTTTGCACTAGTCCGATGGTCAGTTGGTGGTGTACAGCGATCATCTCTTCTTGGGTGATGGTGCCTCATGTGCGTATCGCAGTGATCTGTTCTGGGGTGATGGTGCGTCATGTGCGTATCGCAGTGATCTCTTCGGGGGCGATGGTGTGTCATGTGCGTGTCGCAGTGATCTCTTCTGGGGCGATGGTGATGTTGTGGTGTGTGTATCGCCATGATCTCTTCTCGGGTGATGTTTTGCCGCATGATGCCTCAGTGTCCGAACAGTGCGGGCGTTTCAGCTTGGTTACTACCAAGCAATTAATATCGTAAAGCTGTGCCGCACTAAGGTAGTTCAAAGCATACGAGGCTCATAGGCCTTTGAGCGCTCTGTTCGTGAGTGCCTGTCATTCCGTCCATCCAAATAACTTGGTCGCGCAATCGTGCTGTTTGTAAGGACGCCATGCGTCATGTCATCCTCACATTACGTTTTGCTGTCCAATGTTCTTACAGTCGTTGGATGACTGACGCTACTTTTTGACGTAATTTTTGTGTGAATGATAGTCGCACTGAACGAAGAACATATTCGGTCCTTTGGCTTGGTCAGGTTAGTGTGTGTGTGTATGTGTGTGTGTGTGGCATGGCTGGCAAAGTTTGAGTCAATATATGTATGTCTGATTTCTTGGTCTTTTGCTGGGCACCGTGAGATATGTTTCCCATGCAATTACAATCATGGGCAATCCATTAATGGAGAACGTACGTTTAATACTTTTTTGGTCACTTTAAACACTCGCCACCCGTCACGTAGGTGGAGGAACGTTTCAGAAAGTGGGGGTGCCAAATCATCTTTGGAGTCGATTTTTTACATGCGTCTTCATATGATAGTGCTCAGCATTCTGGGAAAGTGGAGGTGCCGTAGTAGTGCTAACTGCTAACTGGTAAATGCTAATGTCACTCCTGGTGGATGTTGATGTCAATGGATGCTCGTGCGTGTGAATGTAATATGGACGGTTGGTGAAATTAGGAAAGATACCTTGTATACGAAACCTTCACCACACGGGGACCTCTGTCGAGCGCATACGTGCCTCGGCCTGCCGCGCCTGTATGCGCGCACTCGTGAGCAAAAGCCTCGGTTGTCAGTAAAACTTCAAATATGGAAGCGTTTAACAGCAGACGCAGTTATGACGCAGTGTCATTGGCCAAGGCCTCAGTACCAGATGCCAGACACTGGTGCGTGCGGGCGTGGTGGAAGGCTGGTGGTATCTGCCATGTCTTGGGGTGTTGTCGTTGGCGGATGATTGGGGTAAGCGCTCTGAACAGCCTTTGTTGCTATTTCTCACGAATGCTTGTTATTCTGAGCACTGACGAAACTAGGTACCTGGCTGCGTGTGGTTGGAAAAGGCTGTGCTCCAGTGTGTACGAGGAAACCGCTGACTGTGTGGTAAATGGGCCTACATTGGGAGGAAAACAGATGTTTCTTGATAACAAGACGCGGGAGTGGCAGAAGCGGAGTAAGGACAATGGTGCAGTTGCCTTAATCTCTGTGAAATTTAGGATTGACAGTAGGAGGTCTTTTGAACATGATGTATATCCATGTATCTACTTCACTGAAGGGACTGCAGCTGGTTTCTACTATGCTTACACTGTCCTGTGCAGAAGGTTAGGAATTTTAAAAGTGGGGCATTCACCTAAGGCTGAACATGGTAAGCAACTAATGGAATGCAGGGTTCAGTGGGTGTAAGATCTGGCCTACATATTTGGTGCATATAACCAATGCAGCTGATATGCCCTTAAACCTCACTAGCTAACTAACTAGGCTGAATAGTTGTGTGTGAATATTATATCTTTATGTTGATGCAATGGGTTGAAAATAACCATTCTGGTCTGGAGAGATTTACATGTCAGGTGACTTAGAGACATTTATCTTTAGGGTTTGATTTAACACAGATCCATAGTTTCAAGATGCCAATTTTATATATGGTGACAAATAATGGTGGGTGCCACTGATTCCACTACTTGAGGAAGATCCATATAATAGATGTACAGATACCTTTAACTTATTTTTGATAGTCTTTAAAGTATGAGGCAATTATTGTATCACAGTAATGAAACTGATTTTCTATAACATGAATAAAACTGTTAATATTTTCTCCCTGTCTCTACTCTGCATTCAACAATGAGAATAATCGACATGAAGTGTATGATCTTAATGTTTTAAATAACTTGTGTGTGACAATGGAAAGAATGACTTGGAAAGTCCCTTTAAACTTCATTAGACAGGTTTCAGGTAGAGTAGACATGGTAAGCACCATGCACAAAGTTTCAAGATGCTATCTCAAATGGCATAGAAATTTAAAAAGAAGTCATTTGCTGCTGCTACATGTCCTTTACTCACAGCAATAGGATTGGGTCACATGTGAAGTCATTGCTGATGCAGTTTTTCTGCATAGTTGTGCTACCTGGAGCAAAGCTGTTTGCAAACAGTGGCATTGCTTAAGCAATTCCTTCATCCACAATCAGATGGTCACTGAGAGGCATAAGGTAAAGGACTTGCAGCAGAAAGTTAACATGCTGTACATGCATGTGCACATATGTACATGTATAAAACATAAAGATCCACTAACAAGATGTGTTAAGTATTCAAGCAATCAATAAGATTCTTAGAATATTTGTGACAATGATCATTGGTACCCTTTTTCATAGATATTATTTTATGATAGTAGTCATCAGTGCTTGTAGTAATTGTGATTACAAAATAGTAATTGCCCTTAATAATGTAAAAAATTGGAATGCAATTGTTCAAAATACTGAATGTGATATGCTCTCATTGTGATGCGCACTTGAGGCTTGGCTTACCCACAAAAGTATGAGCATGCTGGACTGTTTCAGTTGTGGAATTTATCGCAAGCCTGGGTGGTGCTGGTTCTTTGTCCCATGTGTCTTCATACATAATTTGCTAGTCAGGGGAGCAGATCAAGAGAAAAATAATTTTGGTTTCTGTGCTGCATGCCTTGTGATTAATGGTTGCCACTTTCAGCTATGAGCAGTGGCAATGTGGACCTGGGGGAGTCCAAGTCGCCACGCTCCTACTACAAGACGTGGCCGGACCCGAAGGCGGCCGCGCCAGAATGCCGGTGCCAGGTGCGGGCGGGCGCCGAGTCGAGCGGCGCCGGCGACGCAGGCCACGTGTACCAGCACCGATGTCAGACGTGCGACGTGGCCGACTGCATGCACCCGTGCCGCACGCCAGGCCGGCATCGCTCCAAGCTGGGCCTGAGCGGGCCGCCGCCGCCGCCGGACGAGGCGGCCCTGCTGCTGACCTGCTGCTGCCACCAGTCGCGCTCGGCGCCCTCGGCCAGCGTGCTCTGTCTGGACACGCTCAGCATCGGCTACGACCGGCGCACGCGGCGGCTGATGCTGAGCCCGGAGCCGGCGGCGGCGCGGCAGCCGCCGGCCGCCGAGCAGAAGCCGGGCCTGGAGGAGGAGCGGGACAGCGGTGTGGGTGAGAGTCCGTCCAGCACGCTGCAGCAGGGCGCACTGGCGCCGCGGCCGCTGCGCCGCGCCGACGGCTCGCTCAGCAGCACCTCCAGTCTGAGCACCGACCACGGCCTGCTGCCGGAGTGGCCGGCCGACACCGGCGCCGGCGCCGAGCCGGGCCGCGCCGCCGCCGCCAAGAAGCGTGGCATCTCCGGTCTCTTCTCCCGGTGAGCGGTTGGCCTCGGCCACTGCGCTCTCGTGGAGACTGACGCAGCACTGGCTGTAACTGGCCCCGTGTTTGACCTAGGGTCACCAATTTTCTTAGTGCAACCCTTCCTGTTATGCCAGCTGCCGATAGGTAGTGTCGGCAGTCCTCTCGCCTTCGTGTAGGCGTGCGCGGCCAGCCGCTCAGAATTTCCCTAGAATAACTCGATCCTGTGTTATTTACATTTTTTTTCCTCGGTTCGTATTTTTTCTTCACTTTTCCCCACCTGGGCTTTGCCGTGCCAAGCCTTCAGCACCAGCCGGGTGCTAAATGACCGCTGCAGTTGACGCGTCCCTAAGCCCAAAGGTTAACAAACTCCCAGCCATTTTTAGCTAGCCGTCTGGCAGCGGTATTCCCTCTTACCGTTGTTTTTTTTGTGTTTGAACTTTCTCATTCTCTCCTCTAACGGCTCTTTTTTGATATTTTTACTATCGCGTGCAGACGTAAAGGTTTCTAGCATGGTCTCTGATTGGATGTTCTTTTACGTTCTTATTAATTCTGCGCCTGTCTTCAGAAACAGTTATCATGTATTTCCCTAACCAGTCTAATATTAGTTTGAATCATGTTCCAGAGGCCTGTTCTCCTGGCGGTCAAAAGACTCTCAGCCCGCTAGTGGCCCGCCGTCCCTCAGTGCTCCTGGATGGGGGATCTTCAGTAGGGCTTCCCAATGCGATGGAGGAGCTTCGCACGCACTATTGGTAAGCACGTTTTGTTAGAGTCCTTTTTAAGTGAATGTGGTGAGACAAGGACTTTATTTCCGAGCAAATCAGAAAGCTGCTGACAGCAAGCACCCTTGCACTAACGTAACTTTGATGCGGCCGCTGTACTCGGGCCCCGGAGGCTTATTTTATCAGCGTAGGGGTTACTTTCTCCAGCTTGGCTGGTCCACCGTGCCTTCTGGATGTAAATTTGGCGTGAGGCCAAATTTATATATGTGCATATATATATATATATATATATATATATATATATATATATATATATATATATATATATATATATATGCTAAATGTATACATATATATACATATTATATGATAATATATATTATATAAATATATATCTTATATATATATATATTATTATACTGTGTAATCTATTGTATCTATGTTATTATATCTCTTGTGTATTGTGTGTAATCTATTTATATATTATTATATATATATTATATTCTTATCTATATATTCTATATCTCTATATATTATATGCGCGCACCCACCACGCGCATGATTAATTAAATTAATAATATATATATATACTATATATGTATGTATGTAGTATATTTGTAGTACATGTATGCGCGTGTGTGTGTGTGTGTGTGTGTGGTGTGTGTGTGTGTGTGTGTGTGTGGTGTGTGTGTTTGTGTTGCGTGCGTGCGTGCGTGCGTGCGTGCGTGCGTTGCGGCGCGTGCGTGCGTGCGTGCGGCGTGCGTGCGTGCGTCGTGTGTGTGTGTGTGTGTGTGTGTGTGCAGCGTGCGTGCGGCGTGCGTGCGTGCGTGCGTGTATATATATATATATATATATATATATATATATATATATATATATATGTGTGTGTACATATAGAAATATATGTAATATATAAAAAACTATGAGCGACACAAGTGGAAACCGAGCGTAGGTCTTGGCAATCTGGCGCCGCGGGGACGCGAGACCACGGTTTGACGTGGTGCAGAACGGGCAATCGTATTAGTGCAAATGCGGGACGATGACGTCAGCTGGTCACGCACTCGGGCGTCAACGATATATCCGCCTATTTCGTAGCCGTTTTTGGAGATGGGAGACGTATTTCGGTAGCCAGAGCAGATGGACGCTGTTCTGGTTGAAACCACCTGCGTGATATGGGTAAATTAATCGTATAGAAATCCGTATGCGACCTCAACGCTCCCCGGCCATGTACTGTCAGTGAACAGAGGACGGGAAGCAGGCGAATTTGCCTCCTAAGCCTGGTCTCGAACGTGCTTCGTCTTGGTATATGCCGAGAGAGACTGGACCGATTAAGACGCACAGTCATGCAGCTCTCAGGTACCAAAGAGTAGTACCAAAGAGTAGGCACTTGATCAGTTTTCATCGATATTCTACTGAACGGTATGACCAGCGGGCCATTGTCAGGAAAAATTCGAGCAATATGATTTTTAATTGACGCTAACGCTGTATCAGTAAAGGCCTCTTCATGATAAACTCTCACCAAAGACGGGCTTCGCACTTCATTGAAAAGATCAACTTGTGTTAGTGCCATAAATGTGTTTCATGTATGTCTTATCAAGTATTTTTCATATTTGTTCGTGTAGCTTTTGTATCATGTGCGTGATGAAAGCAGTTTTTTGCCTTGATAGACTCGTAGTTCACAAGGATCGATAAGATTATCGATATCTCCATGCATTTTACGACTGTCCTCAGTCAGTAATGTCACGGCGTTGTGAGCATGGCCGCGTTGTCCTGCGTTGGTCACCGCGTGACCACATCGTGCTGAGCCTATGCTGTCTGCCGCCGGCGCCGCATGTGACCCTGAGCGCGCCGCGTCGCCAGCCGACGGCCAGCTGCACGAGCCTGACGAGCCTGGCGAGCAGCGCCGGCGACTCGCCGAGCCGGCCCGGCCGCCGCCACTCGGGTCTGCAGGCGGGCAGCCAGGGCCTCATCCTAGAGACGCGGCCGCGACACCTGCCGGCCAAGAGCAGCAGCGAGGAGACGCGACACCGGCTCGAGCACGAGCAGATGCTGGAGCAGGCGCGCCGCAGAGGTCGGTGGGCCTAACCGCTGGTTGACCCGGGCATGGCTGGGGGCGGCGCCCGCCAGCGGCCGCAGCGCGGGCACTGTTGGGGGCGGCGCCGGCCAGTGGCCGCAGCCCGGGCACGGCTGGGGGCGGCGCTGGCCAGCGGCCGCAGCGCGGGCACTGTTGGGGGCGGCGCCGGCCAGTGGCCGCAGCCCGGGCACGGCTGGGGGCGGCGCCGGCCAGTGGCCGCAGCGCGGGCACGGCTGGGGGCGGCGCCCGCCAGCGGCCGCAGCGCGGGCACGGCTGGGGGCGGCGCTGGCCAGCGGCCGCAGCGCGGGCAGGGCTGGGGGCGGCGCCCGCCAGCGGCCGCAGCTCAGGCACGGCCGTGGCACGCTTCCTTCCAGTGCGACCCGCATGCTTGATACTGTGGTGGTGTAAGACTTTAATCACACAGACGGTAATTGACGTGTTGCATGACATGGGAGTTACGGCTCCCAAGCGACGGTATGGGCTGATCTCATATGTGGCTGACTGGTCCAAGCTCCTAAGTAAAGTAGCTGACCGTACTAACAACATCAAGCGGTGATAATTTCGATGGTAATGCAATGATCATTTCTTGTAAGCCTCGTCGTCGCTGACTACTGCTTGTCGCTGTTACGAAACAGCGCTGTGCGGGAGGCTTCGGCGCCTTTCGACACAGCAAAAATAGATGTCGTAGGTGGGCAGTGTGATCAGCATATCTGTATACTCTGGCGGCATAACTACGACGCTGCTGCTCATCTGGCGGCATCTGGCCTGTTACTCGTTGTTTACTCGCAGTGGTTAGTCATCATGCGACCGTCGCGTCTGTGAAGATGGAGCCGTGTCACGCTTTGTCTGCAGTCCCAGGGGCGGCGTTATGTCGATTATCACGTGACCTAGGAGAGGCCACTGCTTGCCTTGAAAAGGTTGACACAACGTATGCACGCGTTAAATAACAGTTTTGACATTATAAGGACGACTCTCCTTTTGATTGCAGGTCTCATATTGTTTTGTCATGGCGTATGCCAATAATCAGCCGCCTCCTTCCAAGCTGCGATCAGACGTTGTTATGAAGCGAGCGTGTTAACCCTCGCGGGACAGGTCGTGGCCAGGTGATAAAGGTGCCTCTTACAGTTTTGAACAAAAAGTGCCTGAAAGCACTTGGATGCGTTACTTCATGGTAATTTGTGCTTTTCTAGTAGCTTTTAGATAAAAAATGTTGGTAAATAATATCAATCCAATACGAGCTAGCGCATGCTGCTCTGGAGCTGGCTATAGCGTGTTCGCTTTTGGTGGTAGCGCTTGGGGGTAGGAACCTCCGAGACCACTCCTTTGGCGGAGGGTTCTGGGGCTAGTTCTAGAGTGCTCGGTTTTGGTGGTAGCGCGTGGGGAGGGGACCTCTAAGACCAGTCCTTCGACAGGGGTTCTGGGGTTGGTTCTAGCGTGTTAGGTTTTGTTGGCAGCGCGTGTGGGAGGGGACCTCTAAGACCAGTTCTTCGACTGGGGTTCTGGGGTTGGTTCTAGCGTGTTAGGTTTTGTTGGCGGTGCGTGAGGGAGGGGACCTCGAAGACCAGTCCTTCGACAGGGGTTCTGGGGTTGGTTCTAGCGTGTTAGGTTTTGTTGGCGGTGTGTGAGTGAGGGCCCTCCGAGACCAGTCCTTCGACGGGTTCAGCCTCCGGGCATCGAACCGCTAGCATCAGTCAGACATCATGCCAAAGTTCATGCACTCTGCGAGAGGTCGGCGGCTGACGTGCAAATGGCAAAGTTTGGTGAGGGGAGGATGTCCCGGGTCTGCCATCTGGCCGCGCCACCTCGAAACAATGCAACGGCTGACTGGGTAACCCATGGGCCGGATGTCGATAACCACGCAAGGAAGCCCGTCGTCTCTCTTCATGTGTGGGCGTGCTGTGGGCTTGCTGGCGAACCATTCATTACATACCGAGCCATTGTCTGCTGTGATACCGTTATTTTGCGAATTTGTTTCTAGCGGTGTGCATGGTTGTCTGTGTGCCCAGAGGACTTGCCAAGCAGGGCTTGTTGCGGGCAGAATCCGACACCAAATTTCTGTCCTTTCATTTCGTCAGTCATTTTCGCCTTCAGTGTTTTGTCAGACTGGCCCGCGGAGGGTTTCACGTAGCACGCAGCGGGGTAGCGCGGCTGCCCCGTGCAATTCAACCAATGTTGCCTCAAAATGGTTATTAGTATTTGGTCATTGATACCGATGCAGGCCGGCCGCAGGTGAGTAAAAAAGCGGCTATGAAACCGCCTGTTCGGGACCTTCCCAAGCCACTTTTCTGGGATATGTCGCCTTTGTTGTCATTTCTGGGCCAGCCAATCTGGGCGGTCTAGAGGGATATGTCGCCAATGTACAAAAGCTGAAGATGACTGGAAGGGCGGTTTATTCAGGAGCTCGCTGTTGCCTTTTGGGCATTACGACGTACCCAGCCTCTGAGGCTGTGACGTCCTCTGCCACCCACCTTGGCGGAAATGGCGGGCCCGGCTGGAATCGAACCCTCTACCTCTGGTTTCCCAGATGCGTGTTTTAACCACTGCACTACTGGTACGGACGGTTCGAGCTGCCTCCTCGCAGATCCATCTGGGTCAAGTGCCTGCAATGCAAGTATCTGTATGGCCGTGAGGAAAGGTGAAAACGCTCTGTTAATTGTCAACGCTGTCCGTCTAGCTTCCTTGTAAACATGCTGTACGCCATTGCCCCGCCTGCTGAATGGGGAGGTTTTTAGAGACCACCACCGGGAAAGCGTTTCCATGAATGAATAATACGACAAATCCATTTGTTGCAGATCAAAAGAACTCGAAGTCACGGAAAAAAGCTTTGCAGGCTCGGCTCAAGACGGAGCAGAGCTTGGCACAAAGCTCAAAAGTCTGGAGCCAAGACATTCTGCCTAATTGGAACAAGGTATGTTTTATGCGTGAGCTGTACTGCCTGTGCGGCTGCTAGTGTTGGCAAGTAACTTATCCGAGAGCGACGGACTAGTTACTCCGCCTATGTGAATATCTTTTGTCACTTTTAGCCCGATATTGTATTTTTTCAACCTTGGAAGCCAACACAGCCAAGCTGAGCTCAGGATTCGTGTTCTGCTATACTTTTGCTATACGCTTATGTCGCGCACTGCCTTACGGAGGGTGTGAACACAACCCAGCCGTGAACCGTTCGCCCTGGCGCCCGTGGCTCCAGCGCTGTAGGTGCGTGCGTGTGCTGCGCAGGTGCGGCACACGCGTAAGGTGGCCGACCTCTGGTGGGGCGGGCTGCCGCCGAGCGTGCGCGGCCGCGTCTGGATGCTCGCGCTCGGCAACGACCTGAACGTCACGCCTCAGCTGTACCGCGTCTACCATCAGGAGTGAGTGGACGCGGCCCGGACGGCAGCGGACGGCTCCGCGGGTGGTCGTGATGGCGGTGTGGGGCTGTGGAACGCGTCGAATGCGTATGGCCGCGCCCATAGCTGGCGACCTGGTGCCAGGTGCATGTGTCAGTCGAGGGTATCCACCGACGCCACTCTCCAGGCCGCCGGATGATCTCCGGTGGAAAGTTCAGCCTTAAACGGTCCGATGTGATCAGACACCGGCAGGTGTAATTTGACGAGGGGTGTCGTGTGATGCTTGTCGCTAGGCTTTCTGGTGGATGGGGAGCGGTAGTGTGGTCTGGCAGTATCAGTTGCAGATCAGCGTGGGTGCGTGATCCAACATAAGCAGGTGCATGCAGGCGTACAAGCGCCGTTTCAGGTAGTTTTGCGCTATCGGGTGCATATCGGGGCCTATCTGCCACTCGAAACCGGCAGGGACTTGGGTGGACTGGTGTCATCTGACACCCATTGTTGGTGTTTCACCGCTCGAGGTCCGATGTGACGGGGCTCGTGACGTGCTGGGCATGTGACCCGATGACAGAGGTGGTATTTGCTTTGTCTGACGCTGGAGCCTTGTGTGTGACGCCGGCACTCGTAACTCTGGCCGAGGGCGCAACTGTTTCGGAGAGTCTCGTGTCGCCAAGAGTTCAGCTCCGCTGTCCCTCTGGATGTTAGCCGGCCCATGAGGATCAACTCTAGTTTCTAAGCTACACGCTCGCGAAGATGTGCATAATTCTTCTTGGAGACTATCTCAAGTTCACCCAGACATCTATGACGCCATAATAACGTCATTCAAATTCTGCCATTCCATTGGCCATGCGGCGGTCAAGGCCAAAAAAGCAGAATGGTTGAGTCGTTCATATCTGGCGTTCGTGAGCACGATTTCCAGACATAACGGCCGTCAATTGGCTCTCAATCAATAATATGCGAGGTACGTTCACGTAACAAAACGATAGCGTGTTGAAAAGCCTTTTTACTAAACTGGCTGTTGTCCGCATTGAACCGCATTGTCTAGAGCAGCCTTTTTCACTTAAAGGTATACCAGTAAGTGGGCTTATTTCACCATATCTGACGCTATCTCAAATGTGTTCAAATGTGGATAATTCCCTTTCACGGTTAGGAGACCTCAGCAAAAATAGGGTTGACTGATCAGGAGAAAGTTGTGTCGATTATCTTTAGGTCGGGACGACCCGCGAACTGTTTTTGGACCTCGGTAAAAATTGGTATTGGGCTCCCACAGGGAAGTTGACGCCGTTTTTTTGCCCTTTGGGTCTGGTAGTAAGGGCTTGGAAAAGAGCTCGTCGAGCTGCCGTTGGTGCGCTGCAGATGGCTTGCCGAACGAAGGCGTCATGAGGGATTAACTTGCACGAACTCGGAGGAGGCACATGTTCGGTGTAATTGGGGGTTTGACAGGCCCTTTGTCACCAGCGAAAAGTTCCCCTGCAACGCGCGTTTGGAACCCAGATATCCGCGCCCTCCAATCGAGCGCTGCCACGACGGCCAGCGCCCTGACCGGTGTGCTGTGGGCCGCGTGGCAAGTTCCGTGCCATTCACCAGTGCGCTGTTCTGTGGCCTGACTTCTGTGCTGTCATACGGGGCGCCGCTGATCATCGACTGGTCCCGCCGCCGGCGCCGTGACACCACTGCTGCGTCGCGCCGAATCCCGTCCGCTATTCATTGACCCGACGGCCCGCGCTCTGACCCCGCCCCCGGTGACCCCTTACGCCGGCCTGTCTGCTGGTGTCCGATCGACGGTCCGGCAGCCGGCGCCGTGACACCACTGCTGCCTCGCGCCGAATCGCGTCTGCTATTCATTGTCCCGACGGCTCGCGCTCTGACCCCGCCCCCGGTGACCCCTCACGCCGGCCCGTCCGCTGGTGTCCGATCGACGGCACGCTGACAGCTACGCTCTCCGTCGCACAGGGCGCTCTCCATTCTGGAGCTGGCGCAGGCCGGCTCCGGGCCGCGCACCAGCGCCGGCGACAAGGAGAGCTCCGTCGAGCTTATCCGCCTGGATGTGGCGCGTACCTTCCCCCAGCTGGGCCTCTTCCAGAAGGTACGGACCGGTCGGCAAGCCCAGCCCACAGCCCGAACACAGCGCCACTGCCCGCTGAGTATATCCCGAGCCAGTCCCACCCTCCGAGGCTCGGCGTTGCGCAGAGCGACCAGCCCACCAGACAGGCGCCTGGATGCCAAGGTTGGATCCGCATCCCATGGGGTTCCATGTTTATGGGACCCTGAGGTGTTGGTTCGGACTCCATGTCTGCAGTTCACTGTCGCAATCTCTTTGTGAAAGTGATGGTTCTAGAGGCTCATATCCGACCTTCGACTTCGGACTTCGAGAGGGCTACAGAGGATGGTTTCAGCAGAACCCCCCGTCGGGAGAGGCGGTTGGTAGATACCTCAGCCACTTCGGAGCTCAGGGTCGGGCGCTGGCCTGAGATGTCTGCCATCGGCGGGGTTTGTGAAATTTGCCGACGTACCGTGGTTCAGCGTAACCAAGTTATGTGACAGCGCTGGTATCTGTTGAAGCAGATCGTGTGGGGCATTGTCCCCAACCAATGACTAATTGCTGACTGGCTGCGGCAATGTGCCTGAGGGAGTCAAATGTTCAGTGTCGCAGCAAGTATTCCAAATAAATCGTTGTCTACAAAACTGAGACTAAACAGTTCGATTGTCTGAATGCTCGCAATGATTGGGTGAGGCGTAGGTCTTGGTATACAGTGCAATTCTTTACTAGGTAACGCGTTCCGGGCAATTAACACAGGGCAGCGGGTACCAAGTGCGGTAGCGGAATAATATATATTATTTTTTAGGACCAAGGATTGTTTTCCTGGATACCCACTCTAAGTCGGTGCCTTTAAGTTGACATTCTCAGTTGTATCATATTTGTATGGAGGACTTCTAGATGAAAAAAGTGGCGCTATCGCTGCCTTTTTAAAACCAAGAGAGTTCTTTTGCTGTAAGGGAGCACATTTTGTTTTCTGTTCGTGCTCTCCTTTTGTCCGCGCGGGAGCGGGGAGGGGAGTGGTTCCCTTGCGGCCATTCCAGTAAAAAACGAATAACTGCGGTCACCAAATTTATCATAGCTGAGAGCATATTCATGGGCCATATTTTGCAAAACCAGAAAATCGTACTAAAGATCTGGAGGAAAGTTTTTGGGAGACGTCCGGTGCGGACTGGTTCGTGGCAATAGATGCCAACTGGGAGCATGAAAGCGGCGCATAATAGGGACTCTAGTAAATATGTTACTTATATGAGCGCGATGGGGTGGGAGATGAGTTACCTGTCGTGATCCTGTTGGCCATCTGCTTGCACCTGGGCCACTATTATGTACCGTTTCAGGCCACGGTTGTGTGACTGGCTGGAAATGTACCGTTTCCTGATTCGGAGAGTCGCATTCCTGTTTGTTCCGAGCATTTATGTTTCTTTTTCTGAGCATTTATGTCACCCTGGCTTATAATGTTACCTGAACTCGAAGAAGACATGTTGGAAATCATTGCATTCGTTAGGCATGAATCACTGCTCTGCTTGTTTCGTGCCACTGGGTGACTCGGGGGACCGAGCGGCGAGGCGAGCAGACATGCCTGGCGAGGCGACGTCCCGACACCCGAGTGCAAACAGCCCCCGGCCGGCCCGCCCGGCAAGGCTCAGAGGGCTGCTGAACCAGCCTCCGCCCGGCCCGCCCGGCAAGGCTCAGAGGCCTGCTGAACCAGCCTCCGCCCGGCCCGCCCGGCAAGGCTCAGAGGCCTGCTGAACCAGCCCCCGCCCGGCCCGCCCGGCAAGGCTCAGAGGGCTGCTGAACCAGCCCCCGCCCGGCCCGCCCGGCAAGGCTCAGAGGGCTGCTGAACCAGCCCCCGCCCGGCCCGCCCGGCAAGGCTCAGAGGCCTGCTGAACCAGCCCCCGCCCGGCCCGCCCGGCAAGGCTCAGAGGCCTGCTGCCACCTTCCGGCCGGAATTCAGATGCGTGCACTTGCCGAAATCAGACGTCGTCGATGTAGACCTCAGCTAATTTTCTTCTTTCGCGAACCCGTCCAACTCTGCACTCGGTTCAAGAGTATCAATGAATAGCGTTATAATAATGTGTAGTCATATCAAACTTGCCCTGAATGAATCTAACGGAACTACTGATACGTTTGCATGTCTGCGAGCTCGCTGCACCCCACGATTGACCGCCTGCCGATGGTGGTGGTCGCACCGGAAGCAGGAGGCGCGGTTTGTAGGTCCAGCAGCCCTCCGTGATACGATGGGGATGATCCGCTTATTTATACCATGGGCGAGCCAGGTGCGCTTTCCAGTGTCACGCATGAAAAAGAAGCGCCACCCACTCACCCCAGATTCCTGTGATAGTCGCGAAAGATGGCATTCCTCCTCTACGACCCGATGTCATACGATAAAGCCAGATTCATTTAACGTTTGTCGTGAGTTTACAGCATTATTCGCCAAATTGTGTCGTCATTAGCACCCGACTCTACCACACCGTACGGTTAGTGCAATGGGCGCCACGTAAGCGGTGATGCAATCCTGAAGCAACAGTGATGTTTTGATGCATCATCAGGAATGCCCACCTGGCGACTACAGCCGTACGGATGGCGTGCGGCCACCGGGTCTGGTCTGGCACTGGGACGTCGGTCCCGCGGCCCCATCCCGCCGTCCGTGAGCGCCGGAGTGCCGCACCCTCTGACCAGACCCCATGTCGACCAGGGCGGACCCTACCACGAGCTGTTGCACGAGCTGCTGGGCGCCTACGCCTGCTACCGGCCCGATGTCGGCTACATCCAGGGCATGTCGTTCATCGCAGCCGTGCTGCTGCTCAACCTGGACCCGCCGGACGCCTTCGTCGCCTTCGCCAACCTGCTCAACCGGCCCTTCCTCTTTCACTTCTTCCAGCTGGACCACGGCATGGTGAGCGCCGCCCGCGCACGCTCGCAGGTCGGGCGCAGGGCGGGGCTAGCGGGTGCGGACGATCACAGAGCTGCGCCTCAGCGGCGCACGTGTGCGCGCCCGTCGGTCTGGTGACGTCGCCCGGCTCGCATGTGCAGCGCTTGGTCCTGGGCTCGTTCGCATGGTGTCCCGAAACGCAACCAGGACAGCGATGTGTGGTGGCAATGTGTTACTGAGTGCGACGTTGAAGTGTGCTTAGTCTCAGGGCGTGATGTTTTCCTAACATTCAACATCACAGGTGTTGCTTTTGATTTCTGCGGTGGCACCAGCGTAGGCTACCTTCAGACCTCCCGTTCCGCCGAAGTGATGCGAGACAACGCAGTGGCAGCGTCTCTGCAGCTGTACGTTAGGTACCGACAATGCCTGCCTCATAAACACTGCGGCAGTTTTCTGACACGTCATCCATAGAGGTGACATTGCGATAGCTGCTCATCATACGCGCGCCTTCTGAACCCGCGACGTATCGCCCCCAGCGTGGTCTCCCCGGCTGGGTGCATCGGTCACGGGGTCGGCCTGGCTGCACACTTGTAGCGACCTCCCCCCCCCCCCCCTTTCCCCACTCAGGCCTGGCGTGCCCCTGGGCCAGCGGGCGCCTGAACCTGCCATGTCGCCCTCAGATGAAGGCCTACTACGCCACTTACACGGCGCTGCTGCGAGAGAACCTGCCGGAGCTGTGGCGGCACATGGAGGCAGAGGAGGTGACGCCGCATCTCTACCTCGTTGACTGGCTGTACACGCTCTTCTCCAAGTCGCTGCCGCTGGACGTGGCCTGCCGCATCTGGGACGTGTTCATGCGGGACGGCGAGGCCTTCCTGGCGCGCGCCGCGCTCGGTGAGTGCCCCGTTGCACGGCGTGTGCACACGGGGCCGGCTTTGGCGGCGGCAGAGGTGCCGCGGTGCTGGTGAGGGCTTCAGATGATCTGGCGGTGACTGCCCGTCTTGTTAGTGTAGCGGGTTGTCATGAACGGAGAGATGTTACGTTTGCAATGATTTTGTTCAAATCAAGAGTACTGCGACGCGTGCATGACGAATGAAACGTGGGTTATCAAGTCACTTGGTAAACAGAACAGTTTGCAAGAAACAGCTTGTTTTGACGACACATTCGTCGCAAGGGTGATCTGCCAATTTGGAAAACACAGCCAGTATGTTCTTGAGCGTGCGCAATGATCCGAGTCTACGCCCGTCGCCGACGAAGCTGCGTCGGCCAGGCCACGTCGCATCCATGTGCGATAAGGTCATCTGCCTTCACCATCCAACGGTGCGACCGTTTGACATTTCTGCGGACTCGACAGGTATTCTGCACCTGTACGAGGAGCAGTTGCGCGACATGGAGTTCATCAACCTGGCGCAGTTCCTGACCGGCCTTCCCGACGACCTGTGTCCGGACGCGCTCTTCAGGTCGATCGGCAAGGTGCACACCCACATCGGCAAGCAGTCCTTTCACGAACTGGTGGAGCTCAACCGACAGGCGTCGACCACTGAGTCGCCCTGAACCGAGACATCGCGACCGAGACTTCAGAAGGGTGGAGACGAGGACGGAAACGGGTGTGGACTGGGATAGGACAGAGACAGAGACAGAGACGGAGACGAACACGGGGACGGCGACGGTCGCCGGGACCGTGACTGACACGGAGACGGCGACGGACAAGGGGACGGATACGGAGACGGAGACAGAGACGGGGACGGAGAGACGGAAACGGAGACGGAGACGGAGACGGAGACGGAGACGGAGACGGAGACGGAGACGGAGACGGAGACGGAGACGGAGACGGAGACGCCGACGCCGACGCCGACGCCGACAGGAAGGTAATATGAAGAGCAGAGAGGCATGCCGGGTGAACGCTTACCCTGCGCCGGAACCCCAGGGCTTCTGTCACGGTCAGCCGTACGTGATCACGTGAATACTCCGCATACCCCGGCCGATATATATTTGTACCATCAGGTGCTTGAACAGCCGGAATAACCGCACGATAGTGTAGACCGTTTGATACGCGAACGATGTGATTGTTACTGTGTTATTTCCGGTGCTGCAGCTTGGGCCGCAGCGTGGCGATCGTAGCGTGACACTGATGTACGCCAGAGTGTCCGCAACGCCGCTGGGGGCGTGTCGCCGGTTTGACGTGCCTTGACCGAACCATCGGTCGTTTACCCCGATCTGAAAACGATCTAGTAGTGTATGTAGATACTTCATGACCACCATGGGATGTTCGCGGTGTTTTTTTTCATTCGACGTCATTATTGCCAAGAGCATGCATCCCATTTACCGAGCATAAAGACAAATGTTATCGTCTTCGTGTTTATTGTAGTGGGCACCGAAAACGAAGAAGCACAGACGAGACCCCAGCATCACAAACGCGAACGTCGTAGCCTGCAAAACTAAAACGCAATTAAATCGGGGTGTGGTCATTGTTAACTTGATCACAATGCTACCAAACTTGTGACAAGGGCATTATCATTGCCCACAGCCCGAAACACAATCCAACTAAACTGTAAGAGGCAACGACAAACATTTACACCAAACAGGACTCATTGAGGTCGTAACCTAACAGATCATTTGAGACGGCTGGACGGCACTCAAAATTAAAGGTACCATTTGAAAATTGCCAGGAATTCAGTAGAAATATGATTCCGCTTCAGTCTTGCATAAGTAGGCATGGAAGAATCTACCGTTTTTGGACTAAAATGGGTCTTCATGCAGTCTCGAGTGGAGCCATCGACATTAATGGAAAAATGGTGCGGGTGTGTGATAAGTTGACGCAGAACGCTGGGTTGCAATTACCGTCGCCACGTGAGTGGTTGGGTTTACGCGGTTTCACCAGGTGAACTAAGTCGGAGATTTACGTTAGAACGTGAACAGCTGGGGAAAGGACGCCACCTGAACTGCCGATAAGGTGCAGCAAAATTAAATTGTGGCAAAATTGATATGAGGAGCGGCACCCCCGTATCACACGCTACAGCCGCACTGACATCCGTCATCTATTTTCAGAACTTGCTTCACAAGAGGCCCATCAGGCCAAGTCGCGGTGCTGCCAGAAGCGTGCACTGACTGATTACTTCGCATTGCCGAAAGCCGATTTTTAACTGAAATCAGTTTTCACGCTATCCCCTACGCCCAAGGATTGTGGCATGTGCATTGAATACCTCATTCGTGTAAAGGATGTATCAGAGGATATGGTGGCAGGGTGAATCGACGGCTTCAATGCTGAACAGATTGTATCCGGCATTCTGACATAGTTAAAATGCTACAGAGGGGGAACTTTCACGTCACAGGGCAGGTGTAAACACGTTAGTGAGAGTATGGAGAATATGGAGAAGTTGGAGAGAATACAAAGAGAAGAGAATATGGAGAATAAGAAGAATATGTTAGCGAGAATACGGAGAAGGGAATGTGGCCATCCGATGGCAGATTGGTCGTACAGATTCTGTACTGATCTTAACATCATGACAAGCATGCCCTTGTCTTGATCGACGTGGTATATCCCATACCCGCCGATGGCCCGGGCATTCCCCAGGGCCCGATGCAAATACTGGATGGGGTACGGGGACAAACGCAAGGTTGCACTTGCGCTGTTGCAATCAGCTCGGCATAGATGTACCCACATTTCCTAGCTCATGCACCCATCACTTATTCAAAATCCATCCGCTGATGATTTTGGGTTCGTTACGGATGCAAAATCTTAGTGCAAAAGAAAGCTACGGATCTAACTTTGTTTAGGTCATGAAAAAGTTTTAATTTATCACCAATTGCGCCATTTTAGTAAGCTACCAACAATTCTGACAATTTCAAAATCTAATTTCCAATATTTGTTCAATTTATTTCTTAGTGCGACCAGGCTCAGGCCGTGAGCTCTTGCTGTCAACCTCTGGCGTCCAAATTGGTTCCGTTGATTGCCGCGTATGACGGGAAGGAGTGGATGCCCCCCCCCCCCCCCCCCTCCATCCCATTGATTTCAAGCTGAGCTCTGCACATGAATAACGGACTGAATTAAATAGGCACATAACAAATTTGACACGGCGAGATCTGAAAAATGGCAGAATTGTGGTTTCACTTGCTCTTTTCATCACAAACGAACGCCAAACAATGGATGATCACTAATGTACTGCTGTTGGTGTAGGCTCAACGCTTTGAAAAGAGATGCCATCAAAATGCCGGCAGTCACCTGCCTCCCACCTGTAGATTCTAAAGCCGCTACAGGAAAGGTGCAGACGAGTTAAGGATGGCCAGCTGACAAAACGGCGATATGGACTAGGATGCAATACTGCAGCCTTAAACGTGATAATGCGTACAACATTTGGTGGGACTCATCCGCCAGAATCATCCTGCCTGAATCTCGCCTGTTTTTCGAACAGACGATCTCCGGAACCCATCTGAAATCAGGGCTCTGACAATGTCCGGCAGCACGGGCATAAAACGCCCTAAACGTGATATGTACTCAGCAGTCGGCGTGCCTCAAACTCCTGTAAACAGCACCAGATCACGCCCAACACTCCCCAAAAATAAATTAACGTAACGAGGACCAGACTGATATAAAATGGCGAGAGGTGCAAAGAAAGGCACGTATAACCATGTCGTAATATGGTATCGACAACCCTAAAACCAGGTTTTTTAAAAAAAACTACGGGGCACCGAGAGAGAAAAGAATAAGGATGGAGCCACACATTACTCCGGGAAGGAGGCATCCCCGACGGCAATGCACAGTTCCGGCTTGGTCCGATACAGATGCGATTCAAGGGTTGGCCGAGCCTATACAACACAATCGAGTTACAAAAAACACGGACGTCAGGGACACGCCTATGACAGACAACAAAACCAACAGCCTCTCGATCTAGCAAATCTCTCGAATGAATTCGGGTTCGACCAAAATGAATGCAACCTACCGGGCCAGAAAGGAATGATATGAAGTGGTTCATCGCCACCGGAATTGTCACAGCAATCAAAGTAACCACAATATAGTGATGGCTTTCACACCTGGCTGTGGCTCCCCAGAAAGTCAACAATTTCTGGACGACTGTTAGCAAGAGGACAGGGGCTACACAACTTTGGCGACTTTTCAACTCCTTTCCCTGGTCACGCTGTTCAAACTCTTGTTCAAAAAAAGATTGCAGCATGGCTTGCAACTACTCCTCAGTGAAACATTGCGCTGTCCAACTCTCCTACGCTTGTTATGCTTCGATTACGCTCCGCCAAGAAACCCTTCCCTTCCATGCGTAACGCAATTTATGAATGGCATTCCTGGCAATATCAAAAGTTGCCTAGCACCATCGCAGTCGGAAGACGTTATTTTTTCGAGGGGGCAGAAGTGACAGTCAAAAGCCCTGCACCTGCACTTGCCACTTACAGGGGAGGTCTCGAACTCTACTCAGTTCTGATGCCAAGAGACGATGGAAAACCCGTAGCGATTTGACGCTAACGGCAGAACCCAGAACAACCTCTGGAGCAAGAGCTGGTCTGTTGGCTGCCGGCAGCCTGACATGCCTTTCGGGAGTGGTCGGACGGTGCCCGGTCAATTCGCCGACACACATCGGTGGCTATGTGACCTACAAAATAGCTCCTTTCTGAGCAAAAGCCTAGAACAAAAACCCGTGGCAAAAAAAAACATCGAAAGCCAAAAAAGCTGCACCATTTGCTGGCACGATATGTAGATATGTTCCCGGGACGGCTGAAGGTCAAGAATGGGCTGGAAGGCAGCGCCACATTACACACAAAACATTGGGGAGGGTTATAGTGTCTCGAGGAGAGCAAGGCCGCCGCTGCTCACTTCCCGAACGATCCGAGCAGGCCACTGAACTCGATGTCGACGAATGGTCCCTGGAGGAGACCCGTGCTCGCTTAGGTGAGGTAAGGTAAGGTTAGGAGAAAGGGAGGTCAGACACCGCCTTTACATCACATCTTGCATCATCGCAAAGTCACACGGAGGGTGCCACCCTTGGAGGCTAGTTATCACTCAACGTGACACCAGACGGGCGTTTGGGTAACGCAACGCGTACGACAAACGGTTCGATTAGATAAAATCCTTCAAGTAAGGTGAAAAACATGGGTTTACTGGCATTTGGTCGGGGGAGCGGGCATTGGTCGAGGCAACGACAGAGTCTCGCCAGATATGGCCATGAGAGTGCGTGTCAAGGTCCACTTTTGCTAGTTCTTTCCGGTCAACACCATATGGTTGGAGTGGACTTGTTTTCAAGGGTTGTAGGGCAAAGTTCCCGCCACTGCATCCAGAATGGTGGGGGGGGGGGAGGGGACTCCGAAGCACCATGCTTCAATTCTTTCCGTGCACCGCCATAAGCTTAGTGTTGCCTTTTCCGAAATGTTGGAGGACTCGGGCCTCCAAAGCTGCTCTCTTTCTCTCTCTCTCTCCCTCTCCCTCTCCCTCTCCTCTCCTCTCCCTCTCCTCTCCCTCTCCCCTCTCCCTCTCCCTCTCCCTCTCCCTCCCTCTCCCTCTCCCTCTCCCTCTCCCTCTCCCTCTCCCTCTCCCCTCTCCCTCTCCCTCTCCCTCTCCCTCTCCCCTCTCCCTCTCCCTCTCCCTCTCCCTCTCTCCCCTCTCTCCCTCTCCCTCTCCCTCTCCCTCTCCCTCTCCCTCTCCCTCTCCCTCTCCCTCTCCCTCTCCCTCTCCCTCTCCCTCTCCCTCTCCCTCTCCCTCTCCCTCTCCCTCTCCCCTTCTCCCTCTCCCTCTCCCTCTCTCCTCTCCCTCTCCCTCTCCCTCTCCTCTCCTCTCTCCCTCTCCCTCTCCCTCTCTCTCCTCTCTCTCTCTCTCTCTCTCTCTCTCTCTCTCTCTCTCTCTCTCTCTCTCTCTCTCTCTCTCTCTCTCTCTCTCTCTCTCTCTCTCTCTCTCTCTCTCTCTCTCTCTCTCTCCCCCCCATAACGCGACAGTGTCCGCGGCCAAGCGTCTGGCGAATCGGTTTGAACAGGCCAGTGAATTCACCGCTGATGGCGTGGGAAGGCTTTGGCGTTGACGATGCCCGACGGCGTCACGTCTGAGACGCCGCCCACATTGGCGAGGTTCCGTTAGAATGGAGATCTGGGTACCATAATCATACAGATATGAGGTATTGTCATCTCGCAAACATTTTTCCTATACCATTCAGTTACAAGATCGACTGACACACTTTTTGCCTGAGACTAATCAATATCAACCAACTCTGGGCGCAATGTGCGATTTATGGTGATAAGTAAAGAGTCCAATAACACAACTGTATAAAAAAAACAATAATTTTAATAGAAAACCTGGGGTCTTGGGGAGGAATTTCAGGCGGCTAGCTAGCGGCTTTCAGGCTGACTGGCGGCTAGCCGGCTAGCCAGCCAGCCGCCATCATCGGCTAGCCGCATCAGCCGGTTCGCCGCAGGGGCGCTTGCCGACCCAGTTAGCAGTGGGGAGGAGGCACGTCTGAAAAACACATGCCCCAAAGCCATGTCAACGGATTAGAACCGCGGATTTGACATGCATACACCACATGAAATCCAGGGTACCTCTCGATCATTTGCAACTATTGCAGCTCACTAAAAACTACTATTTACTAGAAACTAGAAACTATTGCAGACTGCCTGAAACTAGACACCATTTTTTTAATAACAGGTAAAAAATCCCATTCGCATCTGACACCTCAGACCGCGGTTCTAGCTTCATAGTGGTGTGTTCGTGCATTCCAACGTACCTTCACCAGATTTGAACAGCCGAGTGATCCCACATAATATTATATAATCAACATGCAAACCGTAAATTCAAGATTTCGAAACGATGTCCGATTATCTACAGCCACTCATGTTGCGCCGCAGCATAATCAATCTATATAAATAGCTACCCCTTGTTTGCCATTCTGTCTGGCAAGATAAAAATCATCCAGCTGGTGGTTAGCTGCCAGTGTTTAGAGCTGGTAACCCACCGAGCCGAAAACCGGCCAGCTGCAACCAACCCCGGTAGACCGAATCAGACACGGCTTATCTGTGTTCTAATTCCAGCCAATCGGGCGCCACCCCCCTTTTACGTCACTCTCATAAACGTGGAGGGCCGTGGGATTCCGACCGACCCGTAACCATGGACGGACGGAGTGGAGGGACCAAGGCTCACACCACCCTCCAGTCCTCCGTTCTACGCCTATCAGCCTAGCAGCTGACTGGGCACCCCCAGCCGCGAACGATTATTGACGGCAGAATCATGAAAAAGTTTTTACTTTACAAATACTACAATCAATTCTTGAAAAACAATTATTTTACAATTTTATAGGTGAAACCCATGCCACTTTGACTGGAAGGATCCTACACCGATCCGCCATTTTCAAGCGACCGAACGGGCACCAGGCGGCCACGCCGCCCGCAACAGAGAGCGACGACCATCCCACCCCGCCGCCCGGCCGCCAAGTCCCGAAAGTCGACCAACCGACCTTCACGTATATATAGAAGACCCACCGATGACGTCATAACGTCAACTTCAGCACCGTTTTGACGTCATTTTTCCTTTTCCGATCGACGGCATAATCAGCTGACCACGGATTTTTACCCAGAATGCGCCGCAATTCAGATGTCTCATGGAAGTGCGACGGCGAGGCTGCGTCGGTGGGGAGCTGCGATTTTGTGCCTTTTCCTGGCCTAATGCGGCATTCTCCAGTGGAAGTCAAGAAGAGATTATTGTCTGCACTGGACGAGGATAGCAATGTAAGCTTTCTACAGTCGTACGACCCCGGTGATGGCAAAAAATCGGCAATTTCTGCCCACGTTGCGGCGTGCTGGCGCAGATGCCCGCTGGGGGTGGACGCGTCCGCGCAGCTCCCGCTAGATCACGATTTTTTCACTTCATCTTTAACTAAGGCACTCAAATTAATGACCAATCATTTCAGCAAACGATGGCGATCAAAATGGTGTATATTATGACCATGTTAGGGGCGTTTTCACGAAAACTTACCGATCGGGAAATGTTGGTAACGCAGCCTTTTCGTCTGCTTCTTGCTTCAGTAATGGCCGCGGCCTGGCTTCGCGCATGCGCCGACGATTAACGTGCGCTCTGATTGGTGCAGCGAATGTGTGTCTCGTACGATCGAAGCTCCCAGCTGGGGCATGCCGACAATGTTCGTAGGAGGCGGAATGACGCGGTTGCAAATGCATTGTCTTTCTTGCTAAATTATATCATGCAACTATCATGAAATTAATTGCTTCTGATTTGTTACTGCAAGCATAATCATTTTAGAGCTTGTCGCTAGCTGCCCACAGGTCTATTTATGAAGGAGGCATGGGGAATGCTGCAAATTTCCATTCCTCATGTCATCACAGGGATGGTTGGTCAAACAATTTCTGGAATTTCCATTATTTCTATAATGATTCAGTGACTAGAAAATATTTGCCTTTTCTTAAGTGTTTACAATATTGGTTTTGTTCTACAAGGTAATGTCAAAATATTGTAGTGTGATGGGATAAAATTAGTTGTGTTGACTTGAAATGAAGGTCAGGCATTGTGCATCATTTGCAATAACTACATATCATAGTGGCATTCCAGGGGAAGACTGTTGTGAGCAGGTTTCCCAAGGAAGTGGCAGACACCCCAGTTCTGAAGGTTCTAATAATTTGTAGAGAGTTAAAGATACCTGTAGGGCTTCTAACTATAAGCAATTGAGCTTCATAGCATGAAAATGACACTTTCAACCTAAACATGTCCTTCAAATACAAAATAGGCCCCTGGTAAACAAAATTAGTCCTCTTGGATGAAAGAACCCTCAATTCCCCAATTTCACATCTTCATTAACATCCGGGATATATTCTCAACCACAGTTCACTAGGTGGCATTGGTTGATGTTGAAATAAGGTTACTTTGTTGCCTGAAAAAGTAAGATTCTTTTTATAATATGGTGAGATCATAGTCAGTAGGAATATTTTTAATCTTACTTTTTAATTTTTTAAATGTGTATTTTATTCTTAATGCTGAATGGTTCAAGTAGGCATGTGCCATCACACTGCAGATGCATGCAAAACAATGTTTTCAATTTTGGCATGTAATGTTCATCAAAACACTTAAAGCCAGGCAAGCATCTGGATCTATGAACAATATTTCAGGTCCTGGATGGTTGTCTGTCAAAGCTAGAGTGATATTCTGAATCCTCGAGGGGACCATCCATGAATATGATGCTTATTTTTATCATTTTCTAACCCTATCTCTCCCTGGTTATGCACTGATCATGCTTGGTGAGCCACTGCTCCCCTTAGGTATGCTTTGTTAGGCTAAACGTCACAAAAAGTAGCACCACCTCAGACGCAATGGAACATGAAACAAATAATTGGCATTGGTATTATTAAAAAAGCTGATGGTATCCAGCTTTGATGGCCTCATCTGTGTTTACCCATTTTGGCATGACTTGCACCTACACCTGAGCATAGTGTTATGCCATCCAAAACCTCCCCCTCCCTCCCTAGTCATACTTTTGTGTTGCTCTATCACCAACCCGCCCATCTCCCCCACCCCCTCCCCCCCCCCCCCCACTCCATGTGCAATGCAATTTGTGGATAGTCTCATGGACCCTGTAACAAAATGACGGGATGGGTCCAGGATTCTGGATGATCTTTTGACAGAGTTTCAGCTAACATACAGAATTCTGAAGGAAACTTTGGCAAAATTTTGAAATAGCTCCAAGACTGCACAAAATGTTTTGATCAGATTCCTAATTACACCCTATATTCAGGAACATCCAAGACTTGATGATACAATTACAAGGTATACAATCTGTCCTGAGGTGTCACAATATATTTGCATCAGTACAATATTTGAAGATTGGGCCTCCTATCATAATACAGACATTGCTGATGACTTTTTAGGTGTGCTTACAATTAACTTTGCTCTGTGATTAATTGGACTTAACAGTTGGAAGAGGTCATTGAATGAGATTTTGGGTAACAACTTCTTTTTTTGACACATTTTTTGGCTTGCCACAGTGAAAAGCCTTGAGTTTGGTTTGCATTTACTTCCACTTATCTTGCAGGGTCCTCTAGTTTTGGGTTTTTGCTTGGTAGGGTGTTAACACTGCCCAGAAAAAAGCAAGTCAAAGAGACATGTGGTAGTTGAGATGTCAAGTCAGCATGCAATCTGAGGCGTCAACTCATGTTTTAACATGTTTTATGTTATGTTTTGGTTATGTTCAGGCAATGGCATGAATGATTAAGACATCACAAGGTGTGGTCCTGCAGTTTTCTTTTGACCTGCCATAACTTAAAAACTGAACATGATGCACATCATGAAATGCCTTTATGGAGTGAGTGTCACCAACTTAGTTATTTCAGTGCTCAGCCATCATGGCATAACCTCGGAATTCGCCCATTCGCCCCCCCCCCCCCCCCCCTGTGGAAGTTCAATGCACCAACAACTCGAGCTCTGTGCCCTCGACCAGGCTTCACTAATGTACAAGTTTCTTGAGTTCCTATTTAGGCAAAAGCATTTGTCTTGAGTATTTGCCCTTGTCAAGATGTTTCTTATCATGTATGGCATGTTAATGGTTAAGTCAGAATAGCAGAAATAGTACCCAACATTGTTTGATACCTGTTTGGGTATGGTATACTGCTATCAGACATGGGGATCAAGCCAGACTCTCAGGTTCAAACCTCCCGAGCCAGGCTATAGCATGAAGTCAAAGTCAAAGTAGAAGCCAAAGGCAATGGCTTTGAAGATTGTAACTGTGAAATTAAAGGTGAAAGTTTCGTATTTTTACAGCCCGGGGCGGAATTCGAAGCCAGTGAGTTTGTCCTTTGCACACGCCCACGATTTTTTTTACTTTTTACTTTTTTCACCTGAGGTCAAAGCAGAAATCAACAGCTTCAGAGTTCGCAGGCATGAAATGAGCTCCAAAACCACATGCAAAGCAGAACACTCAGTTCAGAATCACAAGGCTGAAGCTGAGACCAGTCAGGCTAAATCCAGCGCGCGACGTTTTGCGAGACCGAACTCATGACCGCAATTTCTAAAGGTATATGGGATCAGAAAACATCAGGATTGTGGGAGTGATCGAGACGAGGTGGTAACAGATCGGCGGCGAATGACAGGTTTTAATCCAGCCATCGCCCTGGTCCTGTGTAATTAGCAAGTACGCGGTATTTGTTGTCCGCTCGTCTTACTTTGTTCTTTGATCTTACACAGCTGGCTCTCCGGGCGTTCTGAGATGTCATTGGTATTGATGACCTGATTATTTTTTACTTTCAGTTATGGGCGTGTCGCAGCCTCAAAAAATTGTGTGGTATGTTGTGATGAGACAAGAAAACGTTTTGCGGAGATAAGTCCCAACTATAGTGAAAAACAGCCATGACTAGGCTGAAGCCAAGATGAGGTGATTGAGGTTGAGATGATTGACAGCATGAGGTTGATAGCCAGCATGAGATGAAGGTGATTGACAGGTATTATGATGCATGCATTATCAGCTCTGATGATGCATGCATCTGATAGTCATATATGGATTGCATGAAGGTGATACCTGAGCTCTACTTCAAAGATTGTTTGAAGTGGAAGCTTAACCTAGCCACTGAAAAATACTGCACTGAAGCTGAACCCGAGGCCATTGGAATAAACCTCTGGCCTTGCGAAGCCAAAGCCTAAGCTGTGTGTGGTCCTGTGGCTGGCTACTCCAGCGTGCATTAGTATTGAAAGGGATTGCTCGCCCGGGAGTAATGTGTTAGGATGCTGCAACTCACTATTTTGGGGTTCTTGGGGTTCTGGCCCTTTTCCGAGCATGGGGACCCCGCCCCCCCCCCCCCCCCCCTCAAGTGGCGTAGCCAGCATTTGTCCCGGAGGGGAACAAATCGGGTCATAGAGATCCATTAGGTAAGGGACTGCTGTTAGGCGCTCTAGGGTGCCTGTTTTGGTGGTTTAAACAACCTTATTGGGCTCGCAATCCTACATGGATCCCCCAGACCCATTTTTTACGTTTTGGAAGCCCTGTGGCTGTTACTATCATCAGAAATTAATGGGTCCTCGCCCTCAGGGGCCGCCACGTCCGGGTTAGGTGGGAGGGAACATAGCACCAAAAGCTCCCACTTGCCAACGCCACAGATTCCGCCCCCCCCCCTCGCCCTCCCTTCGGGTTGTAATAAATAAACCAAATTGTACGTGTGTTATCGAAGTTTTGACTACATGCCATTCACAGGAATGACAATGGGGGAGACCTCCAGCGAAAGTTGACACTCGTGCGAGCATGATGGTCTCCCTGATATTGTACGCACTATCATGCGTCCACAGAGATAGCTGATACTCCCGGCGCACGAGGCAGTTGCATCTCATGATATGTGACCTGCAATGTAGCAAAAGTAACGTGAGAGAGACGGCTCCCATGCTTGAAAAAGGGAAGTTTTCAAACAGTGTGAGGTGGATTGTGGGTCGCCAGCACAGGTATATCAGTGATATTTATCTGTGTCTGGATGCAAAGCTTCGCACGTCAGCTAATATGTACACAGCAATTGATATATGCGATTAGACATGCGTTGGCTTTGTCAAATGGAGGGCGGAGGAACACATCTTCACTCCTACACCAGCATTACAGCGATGTGTATGACGTACATACAGTATGACGCTGTTCAGTGTCATTGGAGTGTACCAGTGTGTCACTGTCCATTGTCAGTGCAGTGTGTCGCTGTTCACTGTCAATGCAGTGTGTCACTGTCACCACCAGTACAGTACATCAGTGTTGGGTGTCAGTGCAGTGTTTCACTGTTTACTCCGTGTGCAGTATGTCACTGTCAATACAGTGTATCACTGGTCAGTGCAAAAATACAGAAAATTGGTTGACACTGGTGCGTTACTGACAACAAGCTGCGTGCAGGTGATGTCTCCGCACTCGGGCCGTGAATGTGAAGTGATGAGCAGTCACATGGCAAATAGGTGATACTATGCATGCAACAAGCACAGCTATTCTGAATTCCACGCTGGCGACGCGAGTCCCAAACCATCCAGTTACATGTCCAACTGTCTTCCGTGGAGCTGGTGAACATGCAGAGTCATGTCTGCCAAGACCTCGGGGAAACTAGCAAACCGTTACATAATTGCCTTTGCTCTTGTAGTATCAGAGTAAATTTAATATGGTGACACCACATTTGAATGGTGAGTGATGTATTTTCCACTGCTGACAGAAAATTGAAGGAAATTCTGCGACACAGCATTAGTCATTAACCATCCCTCGGTCACAAACTTGGCTAGGCGCCAAGCCGCCGACCCGAAAACTGACTAGTCGCAACCAACCTCGGTTGATGCAATGTCTGGGCTTTCAGGAGTGACCCAAAGCCATTGTTTTACAAGAGATGCAGGTACAAGGTCATATACGGCCGTGAATTACCTCAAATCAATCCTTTTGAAGGGTAATGGTAGCGTATCTTGCCATGAACCAGTTACCTTCCGGAGACGTATTAAAGGCTGTGCAGAGATGCTGAGTCTGATCTGACCTCATTTGACCTTGCCTTGGATGTGGACCATGAAAACAAATTCAACGAGCTGAGAACCAGTTGAAAATCTTATTTGGGCCTAGAAGCCTCTCCTTTTGTATGTTACTCAAATAACAAGCATTGACTGCTTTTGTGTAGAATCAGCATCGTGTGTTAAGATGCACCCAACAACCCATGCTGCTGAAAGCTGCAAAACCACAGAAGTTGGGGAGGGTCAAATGTGTCACAAAGGTCAGAGGTGTAACTTCATATAAGGTATTTGAATAAATCCCAGTTCTTAACTGTATCAGAAACTATTGTGAATATCCAGTTCCCGGAACGGTTTCAGGCGTTTTAACACAGTTGTAAGGATACCGATCAGTGCTGGGCATGCGCTATCCACATGCGATAACTTTCTGCCGGTGTCGTCTGTTCCAGTCCGTCGCATCTGACGGCAGACGATTTTTAGTCAGCTTTCATTTGTCACTACCATTGTCCCGGACGAGGATGAGCCATCATTTGTGCTGGGCGAGGATGAACTAGATCCAGAAGGGCCTGGATCTGAATATGGTCGATCACAATATTCCATCCGTCTTTTTGCTGCGGATTAAGATAACGCACGTACGGGTTAAACGGTCTGGGCATGCTTAGCTCTCTCTATTTTCAGCCTTCCAATCGCACTGCATGCACATACTAACGTGTTTTCCGTCGTGAGCTCCAAACCCAGTGCGTTCTGTCAATCCAGCCCTGCTGTTCTGTTGCAGGTCATTGATATGGCGGTGGTACTGGACGTCATCAGTATCCTCGAACAGCTCCCTATCTCACTGGAGGCCTTGGAGGTAAGCTGCCCGTTTGGCCGGCGACTACATTTGGCGTGCACACAGCAGCTAAACAAATCGTAAAAATTGTTTTTTTCATATGTCGTTGGAAGTTATTTCATCCCAGCTCTGCATCGTCATATAACATTTTGAGCTGATCTTACACCATGACCTCACACCATGAGCCTATTTCTTGGTCCATTGGTTGTTGACTGTAGTCAGTAACAGGCGACATCCTGTTTTAAGCTTCATGGTAATTTTACACATGCATGCTGGAAACACTACGTTTTCTAGAATGTTGCAGCACCTAGTGATCTGTTTGCAACAGTTTCCAAGTGTTTCTAGTGTTTCTGATTTTGTTCAGTATATGTGGAATCAAGGGTAATGTGTTAACTGTTATTAGCAGCCTTCATCTCTGTGAATATCCTAGAACTCATTGGAAGTGACACACCAGCATGCTCTGTGGTCCATAAACTTGCGCGTCATATTAGCGCCGTCAGTGCAGCATGTGGTATCAGTGTGGACCTGGTGACGGCCATTGACCGCCGCCTTGTTTCAGGCCACGAGATTGGGAAAGCACATCAACGAGCTACGTAAGAAGACGGAGGACACCAGCCTGAAGAAGCGGGCCAAGGCGCTGGTGCGTCGGTGGCGTGGCATGATGGTCATCCCGCAGCCGGAGCCAGCGCCGGTGGCGCCGACAGCCGTGCGGCGGAGTAGCCCGTCCGGCGCCAGTCCGCGCTCCTACCCGTCTAGTGCCAACACCAGCCCGTGTCTGTCGCGCTCCACCACGCCCGGTCTGAGCAAGCTAAGCCCCGGCCTGGTGCGGAACGTGACGCTACAGCCCATCAGTCCGGCGCTGGGCAGCTGGCCGCGCCCGCCGGCCGCCGCGCCCGCCCACCAGGCGGCCTACTCCCCGCCGCCGGCTCAGACGCTCGACAAAACGGACGTGGCCAACAAGCGCAAGAGGAAAGCGGAGCCGGCCGGCGGCGAGAGGTCGGACAAGCGGCCGTGCTTCAACGGCGTGCAGGACGAGTGCAGTAGAGATAGTATCTCAGGGGAAATCAATTCTGAAGTGCCTCCGGCGCTGAAGGCGGCGCCGGCCAAGAAGCCGCGCCGCTCGCGCTCGGCCGCCGCCGAGGTGGCCTCCTTCGACGACCTCACCGAGAAGCTGGCGTCGGTGGCGCGCACGCCGCGCGTCAAGACCACGCGCCAGCTGCTGTCGGATCTGGCCGAGCGCAGCGGCGACTCGGCGCTGGCGCGGCGCGCCTCGCAATTTCCGGCCGCGCAGCCGCCGCCGCCGCCGCCGCGCCGCGAGCCGCCGCACGACCTGACGCGCAACAAGTCGGCGCACATGCAGAAGTTTCTCAACTGGCAGGGAGGCAAGCGGCGGCCGGCGCAGCCGATCGAGACGATAGACCTGGAGGAGGTGGAGGCCGCGGAGGAGGTGGGCGCCGGCGAGCCGCCGGCCGAGCCGCCGCGGCCCTGGCCGACCGAGGAAGAGATCTTGGCGCGCCTGCCGCCGCTCGACGAGAGCGCGATCGTGTGGAGCGACGATGAGCCGGAGGGGGATGGCGAGCCGGCGGCGCGGACCGCCATCGACCCCGCCCACCTCGATGCCGGCCACCGCCTAGAGAACATTAACGGCAATACGAACCACGAGGGCGAGTTCAGGGAGTGGCACCAAGTTGTTACGGCATCTACGTGCGACGGAGGCGTACTGTCCATGTTGCCTTACGTTATCATTGATTAGGCTGCTTGGCGTTTGTGCTTATAGTCGCTTGTCGGTCCGTACTTCCTAGCGCGTATCCGTACGCCGCGCGCGTGCTATTGTTCCGAGCAAGTTGTGACCCCACGACAGGGATGGCAATGCATACTCCAGAATGGACCGACCGGTCACCCCAACCATGTCTTTTTTCTGATTGTTTCGTTCGGTTCGTGAAGTCTCATGGCCGTGCCCCAGTTTGTTCATCAACGCCATCTTCCAGTGCAGTCTTTCAGACTACAGAGTATCTCATTTATGTCTAAACCAAGGGCGTTCTTATCCTGGTCGGCCACGCGGTTTGTTTGACCGACGTTGGAGTCGTGGTTGTCCGCACACACACGCATACACATACACTGTACATAGGGTACTGTTGAGTTGCCAAATATCCGTTGTTTGTGATAATTGCACCTCCAATACATGATCAAATTCGCATTACTTTGAAAGCTACGTACGGTAAGCGCCGCTAGTTTCCGCTAATTTCCGGTTATTGCTGGTGGTCAGAACTTGTTGGTTCGGTACGTGGCTTGCATAGCAAGGTGTCTGGAGGTCAATAGCAAGGTGTCTGGAGGTCAAGGCATTGTTGAGACATGGCGGGAACCCAACGAGTTGCGAGAATTGTCTCAATTTTGGAAACGTCATGCACATTGAGCTGATGAAGTTTAAAGTGTTGAATACATGAGCTTTGCGAAACGCTCGTATTTCGCAGGACGCTGAGCGGTGTCGAGCTGGTCTCGTTCTGGTTTCGGTGGCCTCGTAAAATTGTACGGGCGATGGCGTCAGAAAGCCAAGCATGTTGGAAGTGTTACGCAGCCGCGCCTGCGTATCGAGTTATATAAAGCCTATTAGGGAGCCCGCAAGCTGAAGTGGAACAGCCTCACACGGATTTGCGGACTGCAGGACCGATCTGTGCAGCGCTGGGTGTTCAGAATCACATCCTTCGCCATTGGCTGGCGGCGTAAGTTTCTTGCATTGCGGAGGCGCGGAAGTTTGTCGTAGCCGGTTCAATGGCGGCATTATGTCGGTCCGTGTCAGCGTTGAGTATCCTGTTCCGTGCCAGATAATGCGTCGATGTAATATCAGCACGATCCGGTCCGACCCAATCCGCGTTTCTCATAAAGCAAAATTCTGGTGCGACTGAAGAATGTTTTTCAAGAAATGGCCCACACAGTCAGTGAATTTCAACCCAGTATTGACGAGCACCAACATCACAGGTGAAGGATGCATAAACACCAATTTAAGATTCGCACCAAATATCCAATTTTTTTAGGCCCCCACTTTTCAAATTCGTGCCTTGCCTTAGCTTAGCTTAACCGGTTCAACCCGGCCCACAAACGTCCACCCCTGTCCCCGAAGGGCTGACCTACGATGCGACGTCCAGACACAACGCCACTGACCTATCAGCAGCTGGGCCGCATCCCCGCTGCCAGGCGGCCACACGTTGCAGCCCATGCACTCCAGATCAGTGCGCAAACAGCAGGTCCTACGGCTTGGAGCATGGTCGTTGTCTGTGATCTGAGCACTTCGTCGTCATAGGCAGCAGCCTAAAGAAGGCACTTTTCCTGTGAAGAAGTGGTCCTGCTGGCGTGTGGTGCATGCGAGCTGCCACGGGCGTGGCCAGAAATAATAAGAGGGTTTAAACATTTAGACTGCCCACATGACCCAGGCAAAACGATTTAAAAAAGGCAACCTTCCTAGTGGATGCTATCGACAGCTTGCGCTAATCGAATAAATGCAAGTAAAACGTGCACAAAATGCAAAATCGCGCATGTAGAGGCGGCACCAGGAAAGCAGATAAGGGGAAGATGTAGCAAGCATAAAAAGCCCGGTTCAGGGTTCAGCAATCGGGCATTACTTCTGCTCTTTTGCCATCGGCAAATACATTGACAATAATGCTTCATGCGACAACTACTCGTGCCTACGCGCGCCCTGCGCGTAGGCACGAGCAAGAGCATTGTTTAGCAGTACCGACGGGAGACAGATATCTGGATGTTAAGTGTTACACGTACACCAGCGTCCATGTATCGGCGATCTGTTCATCGTGGCATTCTTTTCCGTATGCGTATCAAACGTACCAGGCCATCGTCAAACATAGAAGATGGCACGCTTCCCTTGCTGGTAACTATGTACGCGCTTTTTTACCGATTTGTTTTACACGCACCATGCTACATGTTCATCAAATGCATGTCCAGTGTTTTTACCTCTGCGCCCCCACGTGTGACATTCTCAAAATGCTTTATATCTTTGCGCGTCGAATGGGAGTTCCACTTCACTGGTGTCAGACTGAGCCCTCGAACGGCAAGGTGGGCCCGACATACTTATATGTTTCAGGGGTGTCAAATTAAACCCTCCCCGCCCCCCCCCCCCCCCTCCACTTGAAAATCAAGCAAGTCACTACGTGCAAATAGGCTTTTCTGCAACATATCTAAATCAAACAAATTCACCGGACTTTCGAGAAAATGCTGCTGATACTGATTTTGATACTGACAACACTACGAGGCTGACGTTACTAATACTGTTTCGAAATTGTTTAAAACACTTTGCGCTTATTCTTGATTCAAAATAGGGCAAACGCAACGAAAACGTAAAAATACACCGCGATACATTGTATTTCACCTCCCTGTGTTTGAGAGACCGTATTAACGATAAACATTCACGCCCAGTGTGTAACACTGGTCATAAAATGTCGCCAAAAATGTATCGCTCGTGTCACGCCAAACCTCTGACTGAGTCGCGATCATAGGATGCAAATATCCAGGGAGGGCGTGTTCAGATCGCTCATCATTCACACCTAAAAATGTAGGGAAACGGGCGCCGGCCAGTGCAAAATGGCGAACGATAGGATGATGAGGCAGCATTGCAGCCGGCCTGTCTGCCGCATTACACACCGTTGCAGGGTCGCAGTACTGGCCAGAAGACAAAACCAAGTCTGGACAGACGCTCCGGGCAGTCCCACAGCACGTCCGTCACACCACACCTGACCTGACCTCCTCACAACACACTGCAACGCAAACACCGCGTGTACCGATCACCGGTTGCCCCGGCTCCTGCTGCCGTCGGGACCCACGTGCCGATGCGCCCCGCTCGCTGCAGACCACCGCGCCGGCCGCCAGACCCCGGCGCTCCTCCGCGGCGCGCCCCGCCTCACACGTCCAGCTCCAGCTCGTGCCGCAGGAACTGCAGCACCGCCGCGTGGCTGGGCAGCACGTTGAAGCTGCGCCGCAGCACGCGCGGCATCAGCCGCTCCAGCATGTAGATGAGATGGTGGTGGAAGCACGCGAACGGCGTGCCAGCGTCGGTGGCCAGCCGCACCCAGTCGCGCACGCAGCTGGGCGGCGTGCTGGGCGCGCCCGAAAACAGCGCCGGGTTGTTGAGCAGGCCCTGCGCCGCCATCACGCCTGTGCACAGAGACGCGCGCGCACTCAGCACTGGCCGGTGGCCGGAGAGGGTGCCATGAACATACCCACTCTCCCTCCCAGTGTCCATCTTCAGTATGCACCGCCTCTTTTCAAAGGTCCGGCTATTCCATGAAAGGCGCGGAGTGCACCGGATGGGGGGGGTGCGGAATTGTTAGGGGGATTTTTTATAGAAAACAGACCGAGAGAAAAAAAAACCGATTAGAATGGAGTTAAGGCTGAATGTAGAGACAGTCATCATCGATATAAAAACTCATGATGATCCCGTGGAATGCTAAAATACAATACCACGGGTTCACCTGACTGATTTAAACACTGACACATTGTCCGACAGTTTGAAAGCCCGCTTTCATACATTAGATAAGAGGGGGGTCAATGAGTATGGCGCCCCTTTCGCCTGTATCTAACCGAGCTATGCACTGGAGGACGGCACATGCGCGTTCCTACCGTTCACGCCGGTGGCGTCGGCCGTGGCAAGCGCATCCTCTCGGGAGCGGATGTCGCCGTTGGCCAGCACGGGCACGCGCAGCGCGTCGGCCACCTGGCGGATGGCGTCCAGCTGGACGGGCTCGCGCCGCTGCTGCGTGCGCCGTCCGGCCGTGCACGGTGACGAACGCCACGCCGGCCGCCTCGGCCCGCCGGCACAGCTCCACCGTCTCCCTGCGGCGGCGGCGGCGGCGGCGGCGGCACAACGCTCAATTGCCTGACACACGACGATCCGAGGACGAACACCGCACGGCAGTTGTACGTTGGCTGCTCCGTTCATCGCGTTTGCATGCACACACGATGGCGAAAATTGGTTTACACAGTAATACGGTGACAAGACAACACCAATACCCCCAGAACAATGCATAAGCAGATTGTTCCATTGGCTCTGTACCAGGTGATTTTAGTTTACTCTCCTTGTTCACTCAGCTGGTAATCATTGCGGTGCAAATAACCAAGGCAGCTGATACGCCCTTCAACTCAATAACCAACAGGTTGCATTGGCGAACAACGCGAAAAGTGGCTTAGTGCGGTATGATTACGTTGGGGAGCACGACCGCCCAGTTCACTCACCTGACGTCTTTGTGTACCCGTATCTTCACGGAGACTGTGAAGTCGTTGTCTGGTATCCGGTTTCTCGTCTGCCTCACGATATCATACACCAGCTGGGGCTTGTGAATGAGGCAGGCGCCGATGCCCTCCTGCTGGGCCCAGCGCTGCGGGCAGCCACAGTTCAGGTCAACACCCTGACACCACCTGCGGACGGTACGGGCCTCGTGATGGTAACCCCGACCTGATCACAACAGGTCATGGGTCAGTCCGGAACCGGAGGAACTGTGGACACGTTACGATATCAGGACAGGGCTCCTAGCAACCGTGTCGTCAGTTACAATGCATCTTCACAACCATGACGAAGTAACACAAACCGCTGTTCCGCATAAATCTCCATTCTCAGGTATCTTTGAATAGCAGTACCATGCATCTACTTAAGAGAAAATAGAACAGGCATACAATGTGACAAAATTATATGCTATGGAAAACAGCGAACATTAACTCCTCCGGCGATAAGAAAAAAAACGGCAGCGCAGTAATAGATCAGAAGCTGAAGAAACTGGGCAACTAGCAATAGATCAAGGTACTGTTTAAAAACCAGAAACGGAGCATTACCTGGACACTAGCTCCGAGGCATTAGCGAAGTCACTGGGGTTGTTGGCTGCAAATTGCACGATCAACGGGTGGTCGGCTGAAACGACAATGGAGCAAGTTGGCATGTTATGTGAAGTTCAAGATGGGGGACAAGCTGGCACATGATAATCAAACGTATATAACTACGTTCGCATATATTTAAGGTCCACCCGTGCCGGCACAGGCTGCAGGATCGGAAGCTACCAGCGCTCTGGCACACTAGCGCATATGATATATGATGACGATTCGGGCCTCGTGGCGTAACGACTACGATGGTCATCCATATAATATAAATTGAGGTGGCATCACGTCATGTTCTGGCGAAGGACATACATTTGGCACAGTTCATACTTGGTCCATGGCCGCACACAGTTTGTTTTAATGCTCCGTGTAGAGGTCGGCGTGATGGATTGCGTCGTTCCGCTCGACTACAGTGATGCTCAAACGCGAATACGCAATGTGGCGAGCGTCCCTACCATCACTGGCCATTCCGAGATGGTACGGCGTGCAGCAACCACATGTTATCATACACCGCACCCACACGTAAATATTGGGACGTTGTCCATGCCGCAACACCAGCTAACTGCTGAAGAGCTGGTAGCCAAACCGAAAGGCAGTGCCACTACAGCACCGTCCTGACATAACGATATCAATTGCCATTATTTTCGAGCCCAAATTACGCTGTCAACGCTTCGTAACAGCACTCACTTCGCGGCCGCCGTCGTCATAATAACCACCGTGCGCGCATCTACTGGTGCGAGTGATAGAACGTTTGTGACTGGCCCAGCGGGCAAGGGCATACTACCGAAAAGCGCATTGATTGAAGTTTAAATCAGTGCGTCACGTGGATCATGCGATACTCCCATTCCCAAAGCCAAAAGGTGCTTCGGAAAAGGGCTACTGAGGTAAGCTTCACAGAGGAGAAATCAAAGCCATAGCATAACGTGTCGTTGGATCGGGGGATAATGGCTTCATATTTGCACATCTTTTTTCCGAAACAGGATATTTCAAGCTCTCGTAGTATGTATTGCACATTTCGAGGAAACTGGATTTCTAGGAAACTGATATTACTGATCAAATCGTGCGCATCCGATGTAACAATAAGCAAAAACACAAAAACGTGGGATACTCCCTTTACAGGAAGCACTCCACATTTCCATGGCGGTTTTGAACTGACATAGGAATCTCGACGCTCATTCGGTGCAATATACAGTTCAGCCCTTCTTAAGACCTAAGCCCCTCTAGCTTCTGCGCTACACAGCAACGAAGATGGGGAGGCTATTTCGGGGATAGTGTTTCCAGATCACCTTGGCATTCATGACGTCCTAGCAACACCATTCAAATCTTGCCATTCCATAAACCATGCGGCGAGCAAAACAAAAAAAAGTATAATGGTCAAGTTGTTCATATCTGGCGTTCGTCAGCACCATTTTAAAATATGACGGCCGTCAACTGGCTCTCAAACAATGTTGTGCAAGGCATGAGGGGGTGCCGAGGAGGATATTTACGAAGCTGAGAAATTATGTTGTCTAGAGCAGTCCTTCTACTTAAATTGTACCAGTACATATAACCGAGCTTGCTTCGCCATATCTGGTGCTTGTTTCAGCATCTTCAAATTCGAAACATCCCATTTAAGGGCCAACACAAGCACGCGCCTGCTAACTCTCGACGCGCTATGATCGCCATGGTACGCCGGCTCGCTTTGGTAGCCATGGGAGAAGCATGAGACCGGTCTAGGCAAGGCATGGAGGCTAGGGAGCTCACACGGTGCCGTGGCTGGCGGTACGGAGAGAGGACGCGAAGTGACAGCTTTGCTGCGATCGGAGGCAACACTCGGCAAAGGCTAGTCGGCGATCTGTATGTGACGGGGGCGGGCATTGTACAGTGACTCAGCCATGGCCAGAAGTGTTTGCAGCCAGGTAGTGTAATGTGCCCTCGTCAATCCAGAGCACACACTGGAAACTCTTGCAACTCACAGACAAGTTCACAATCTTACAAACTGGAGTATGTAAGAGGTCGTCTCCACAACCAACATACGGGAAAAGAAAGATCGCAACGAAAGAGACAATAAGACAACGGAGGAATTTCGGCTGTTAAAAATATGGTCCCTCTGCAAGGTGAAAAGAAAAAATCAAAAGAGGAAAAGACAACGTAAACTACAGGCTAGATATGAGCTTGACAGCATCACTGACGTAGTTTTTGTCAGTGCAAGACGAGAGTTGGCACGCGTCCGAAAGATTGCTAAGTCCCCTCGCCCCGCGACCGCTTCTATAGGGACAAAAAGGGAAATGGCGGTGAGTTATTGCTGGCATCAACAATTCGTCAGCTCAGATCCTGCATAGAAACAAATGAACTCAAGTGGAAGATGGTCCTCGACCTGGGCATCTAGAAACAGGCAGTGGTGTCGCGCTTAGTTCAGACGAATCCCTGGAAGCTAAATTTAGCCAACCAGGCACAGCGAACTTCGCCAAAGGCATGGACCTTCAATCATCGGTCATCAGTGGCTAAAATGCTGCTAAAATGCCATGAGCACTGCCCTCTTGTTGGATTTGGAAACTGTTTCTGAGGCTGATAATTCACACATAATTGACAAGGCTACAACCCCAAGTGAGGAGAAGATGGAGAGGTCGGCAGAAGAGAAAACAAAGATGTGAAAGGTAAGGTGCAATGCACAGGATTGATGGGAAAAGGGATATGACGGATGTCGAAATGAAACAGCTTGTCAACGACCAGATGGCAGAATTCAGACGGACATGACGCAAAGGACACCTGGTCTGCTGCGAAGAGTTCAAAGGATATCTCGGCCACAGTGCGCTCGATTCAAGCACGAACACGTGTCTTTAAAAATGTTAATATAAAACATTCACGGTGCTGAATGTGAGGGATCATTACCTCAATCTTGGCAGACGAGCCCAACGTGGGGTGCTCGTGTATGACCCAAATATATAGTGAAATCAGAATATGCGTAAAGCATGCATAAGCATTTTACGTAGCTAGGCGTTATTTTTAATTGTCCGTCAATGATTCTTTATGATACAAGTATTGGCACTCATGGCGTCTTCCGTTTCCTGATCCTCAGGCACCTGTCCTCCATTAAGACATGGTAGCAGCGGACTCAAGTCACTCCAATGCCCCTTGGTCAGATCATCTGTGAACATGTGTTTCGCCTTCCCCGTAGTCGGCTCTGTACCCTATCACACGTCTATCGAACAGATCAAACAGGTCCTGCCACCACACAAGCGTGTCTTCCGCGCCTATCGTCAGGCTACTGCCGCCTGCTCGGTGCCGGTATCGACGAAATAGAAACCCCTGTCATCCGACAAGCGCCTCTTCTGCGCCTGCAGTCATACTTCTGCCGCCTGCTCGGTGCCGGTATCGACGAAATAGAAGCCCCTGTCATCCGACAAGCGTGTCTTCTGCGCCTACAGTCAGACTTCTGCCGCCTGCTCGGTGCCGGTATCAACGAAACAGAAACCCCTGTCATCCGACAAGCGTGAGGCTTTCTAATTTTCAAGCAAGCTTAGGCCGTGGT